TAAATGTAAGGGGTAAGAAGACTGACAAGGTTGGAAGGGCGCAGGTTATGGAGAGCTTTAAAAGCCAAGCAAGATAATTTTATATTTGATCCTGGGAGTAATAGGGAGGCACTCGAATTGATTCAGTGGTAGGGGTTGGGAGTATGGTGGTGACATGGTCAGATCTGTAGTTTAGGAAGATCAGTTTGACAACGGAGTATAAAACATACTGGAGTGTAGGCAGACCAACCAGCAGGCTATTGGAATAGCCGAGACATGAGGTAAGGGCTTACACTAGAGTGGTGAAAATACCAAAGGAGAGAAAGGGTATATAAGAAATGTTGTAAATGTAGAAACCACAGGACTTTGCAACTGATTGGTTACGGGAGGAGGTGGCAAGAGTAAGTCAAAAATGGCACCTAGGTTGTGAGCATGGGGACCTGGGAGGATGGTGGTATCAACAGTAATACGGAAATTAGGAAGAGGGGAAGATTTAGTCAGTTTTGAACATGTTGAGTTTAGTATGTCTATGAGAACTCTAGTCTAAAATGTCCAATAAGGAATTTGAGATGTGAGACTAATGGTCAGGAGAGGTAGGGCTGGACAAAATAAATCAGAATCATCTGCATCATCTGCATTGAGATGATAGTTGAAATCGTGGGAGCTGATGAGAAGTGAAATACCAAATGAAAGAGCATAGAGGGAGAAGAGGGCCCAGGACAGACCTTTGGGTGACACTCATCATGAGCAGGCATGCCCTCGATTAAGATCAAGCAAAAGAGGACACACCAAAAGACTGAGAAGCAGTCAGATAGGTAATGGAGAATCAAGAGGGCACAGTGTCATGAAAACCAAGAAAAAAGAGAGTATCAACACTGTCAAAGGCTGAAGAAAGATCAAGAAGGATGAGGAGAAAAAGCCATTGGATTTGGCAATTAAGAGATCATTCACTGATAACTTTGGAGAGACTAATTTCAGTTATGTGTTAAGGTCAGAATCTATATTGCAGAGTTAAGAATGGAGTAAGATGAAAAGTAGAGGCATTGATTGTAGACAGCCTTCTCTAGTTTAGCCAGAAAAGGGAGATGAGATATGATGCTAGCAGGACTAAATGGATCAAATGAAGGATTTTTTGAGGCCAGGGGAGTACATGGGCATGTTTGTAGGCATCAGGGAAGCATCTAGCAGACAGGGAGAGACTGAAGATGAATGAGAGTGGGGATGAGAAAGGGCAATTGCTGGTGAAGACTGAACTGAATGGGATTACTTGTGCATATAGAGATCCTTGGCAAGAAGGGGCACTTCTTCATGTGAAACAGAAGTGAAGGAGAAGGAAGTAACATTTTAGTAATGTGACATGGAGGGGAGATTCTCAGAATATGGCCTTGGTATTTTTAATTTTTTTTTTTCAGTAAAGTATGAGATAATATTCTCCTAGCTGAGAGGATGGGGGATAGAAGAGTCCATGGGAGGCTTTAAGAAGGGATGAAAATATTTTGAAGAGCTGCTGTGGTTTGAGAAAGAGTTGAGGGGTGGAGGGATTGGAGGTCGTGATGTGGACAAAGAATAGATTTTGTGGTTTCAAGGCAGAGGGAGAGGTGGAAAGACAACAGATGGTGATCAGATAAGGTAATTTCAGAGTTCATGAACATGGAAATAGAGCACTGGAGGATGATGGAAAGATCAAAAATATGACCACCACTGTGCAACAGAAGGGTGGAGGAGAAGGTCATGAGAAATCAGTAAACTGAGGAATTGGGTGATTAGGGTGTTTGAGGAACTATCAGTATGTGAGTTTCAGTCTCTAATATGAAAGGAGGAGATGGGAAGGAGAAAGAGAATGTGAGTCAGGCGTGGAACTCATTGAGGAAGAAAAGACAAAATCCTGGACATCGGTAGACCACAACCTATAGCTAGTAGTATATAGTAGGCACAAGAACATTTCCTCAATTATAGAACATTTCAAAGATTTATTTTTGTTTTTCCTGTTCCTTTCCCTCTAAATGAAGTCACAGGATCCATCCTTATTCCTAAACCTACACCTAAAATGATACTTCACATTTCTGTGTTCTTTAGCATTTCCTCTGAATAGTTTGTGTGAGTACTATTATCTTGATTTTATAGAGTGTTCAAGGAGTTTGTTAATAGTTACACAAGTTAACAGGAATCACGGAGCTGGGAGTCAAACCTACCTAGAGATGGGGCTTCTCTCTTCTACCTAATGTAATGACTGTTTAATTTTAAAATAGTTGTCAAGAAGGATGTGCTAGAACAGAGCATGACACATAGTTTGACAGTGCGAAAGAATAAAGGGGTTGTAAAGCGAGTAGAAAGATCACCTCAATCTAAACGTGGCAAAAAAGAATTCTCTAAGATATTCTTTGGTGCTTTTGCTTCCTGATAAATCTATCTAAAGTCCATAATAAATTTCTCTCACCATGCTTGCAAATTTTTAAAAGAGGAGTCTAAGTGAAGAAGACCTATGTATCTTATTATGTTTCTTCTCTATTCCTTCCCCTTCCCTCCTGCCCCAATCAAATTTCATGTATTTTTTTAAGAAATATCATTAAACTCCCATAAAAATGGGATTCTTAAAACTTAAGAGAAACTGCTGTCAGGCAATTGAAAAAGACAATCAGAATTTGTTATCTCTGTGCTCTGCATTCTGCATCTACGAAACTAGGTAATGACAATGGTCACCCTGGCAGCCTGACTTACATGCTCATCTACCCCAGCAGTTATCAGTTAAGCCACTGTGTCCAAGCTTTTAGAAACCTCATAAGCCTGATTTCAGTTGTAAGTAAAGGTTAGACTAAAAGCAGTGTGGGAGGTTTCTAGAGAGGTCCAATATGGAGAAAGGCCTCAACAGGTCATGAGGAAGACATGACTAAAGGGGAAAAGGGAAGTATTTTGCCTTGTACGTGATGAATAATAGCATTTTCAAAGGTAGTCATCATTAGAGGACAAATGTTCTGGATCTTTAACATAACTGGATATAATGCTGCTGTATGCTTATTGCTGCCAGGGCCACTCTACATCTTAACAATGCACCTACCAGATACGATATCTCTCTGAAAGATCCTTTTCTTAAATTACAGCACTTATATTTCAGACTTACCGTTAACATAGCTACCTTCGTAGTCAAAAAGCTAAGGATGGAGCTTGGATGAAAGGAATCATGAATCATACCATCAGAATGCTGGAAGATCTTCTAAGTCTTACTGCCTCACCCATTCTTCACAAACAGAGAAATTTTCTTTACACCAACCCTGACAAATGGCAACATCACTGACTGATCTTGCCATCTCTCAGCGGCAAAAAAAATCTCACACAAAAAATCCAGGTTGTTAGTGGCTGATTCAAGAACTCTTTTACTTGTATTAAAAAAAAAAAAAATTAGTCTATGTGCCTTGCAGTAGTAAGAACTAGAAATATGTTTTTCTTCCTGAGACACTGTCCAAATTCCACAACGAAATTGCTTTCAACCTCTCTGTGATGATATAAAACTCACAGGAAGTATCATTAATGGCAGGAAAAATAAAATTGGAAAGAATTAGCACAATATGACTTCTATGTTTTTCCATTTTTTTCTCCCCAAATATGAAGAATTGATCTGTATGAAAGGTTTTGGAAGAACCAAAACAAAAACAGGTAACCCTAACCTTGCTAACTTCACATTGAAGAAGCATCACAAAGGTATTGTTATTTTGAAAATATTGCACAAGTATGCTTTCCTACCTTATACATACTTTGACTGAAGCCTAACAACATGACCACAAAAGTCACATAAATAGTTAACTACAGATTTTGGTCCTTTAAAATCAGGTTCAAGAGACCATGCACTACTCTTGAATAAATAGTCTAGCATTAATGAACTTCACTATGGAAGGTAGAATTTGGATGTGTTAGGGGTTTTTCAATTTAATTAATTTTTGTGAAGGATGCACTAATTCAGAGACTGTCAACCAAGTAGTTTGAGGAAATAAGCCAAAGAAAATAAGACATTTTGTTAAATGACTTTTTTGATTATAAAAGCTATACATCTATTACTAAGTACAGAAACAAATGAAGACAAGAATGCCACAATGAGGTTTAAAAATGGCAACATCTTTATGAGCACAGATGGGACAGATCTTCATGTAGATAGTCCTTAGAGGTAATGTGATGTTTCCCACAGGTCCAGTGCTGATTTACCCGACTAGTATCTGCATTTATGATGACTCATTTCCTCAATGGCATTCATAAGAGACTTGAAATTTGCACAGACTGGCAGCTAATTAGCTCTTGATAGTATTTGTTCTCTGGAAGAGGGTGACAGAAATCTTATCCCTCCACATAATTAACACATATGGCTTAATGTAACTTTTCTTCAAAAGGTGTCCTGCTCTTTGGGCAGGATAGTTTAAATTTCTCAATGCTGGGCAAAGCAGAAAGTGAAGGCATGAGGTCAGCACTAGTTTAAATAGCCACTGGCATGGGAGTAGATGCACTAAGGAAGGGCTCACACTTATAGTCACACAATATTGAACAATCTGTGGAAGTACATTGAGTGCATTGTGTGCAGAACATACACCACACTTCCATTTGTTTGGTTAGGAAACTGATGAAAAATGAAAAGAGTAGACCCCTTCCTTTTCCTGAGGGCCTCCTCATACTCCGCCCGAAAAAAATTATTCTAGAGCTGCTATATCTTTCTTCACTCAGCATTGGAAAGTGAGATTCCATGGTAGATTTTTTTTTCACTTCAGTTAGAGACAAAACAAAATGATGAGCATGCTTTTGCAGAGCACCTTTAACAAACCTTGCAATGACAAGAGTATTTTCATGCTTTCCATTCCATTTTCACTCTCCTCTCCCTGCCCCCACCACAATATCTCAAATGGTCTGAGTGCTACAGTGTGCTCCATTGAAAGACAAGACACCTATATCATGTAGATGAATGAGGCCTTTGATGTCATGCAATTCCTGCCCTCATATTGAACATACACAATATTAAGATTCTTAGACATAGAACGATACAGTTTTGAATGCATTTACCACTTTTATTTCACTATGCAGAAACATACATTCACTATGTGTTGTGATGCAGTTGACAGTGTGATGGAGAATAGAACTCTTCAATGGATATTTATAACTGAACACTCAATAGTTTACAGTGGAAGTTCTGTACAGTTTAAGGCTTGGCTCTGAACTAGATTATAAATGTTGACCAGGTTTTGAAATGAAACACTTTTTTTCTCAAATAACATAAGGAAAAAAAAATCAATAAAAACAATATGGTTATTACAGAGTAATCTTGTAATATAAGGAAAGTACAAGTTTCCCCAAAATAATGACAATTTATAGATTTAGGACCTGTGAAGGGCAAACAGAAGCTTTCTGGATTTAATGCAGAACAAGGCAGACAACAGAAAGAAAATCAAGTCGAAATACTAAAATCATGACTACCTCATAAGGTATTAAATCAGATATACAAAGCACATTTTGTAAGCATTAAATATTTCCAAGGATTAGGGATTCATCATTTTATAGGGGAATAATAATAATAAAACCAGATGAAACAAGAACAAGATTCAAGTTGTTTACTGAATAAACTGTGTTATTGGCACATCTAATGTGTGATAAAACATTATACACTGTACCTATACAGCTTCTAGCATTTGAGGGTAATTTTCCTTTAATTTGTAAACAAAAAAGGTTTTGCCATCTAACAAATTATCATTTTGTTTAGACTTTAATAATAAACTACGAAAGGCATGAATTGTTTATGTGTTATATGAGATCACTGTTTATATTGTTGGTTATGAACGTGCAGGTATAGCTGAAAACTTAGACATTTTGTAAAAATTAAAAATGCTGCTCTTTTGCAATTTTATCGTTGCTTCATGCAATATCGGTTTACTGATGCTGAATCGGATTGCTCTATTATGGGAAGATCTCTCTGCCAGTGTCTTTATTAACAGTCAAGATCAATTCTTCTGGACTGAAATTTTCCACGGACAGATACAAGTCAGTCAGTCGGGTTAGAACGGGGACTCCATATAGGCTCTGGTGTTCCTAATGGTGTGCGTGACTGGATTCATATGCAAGCTAAATTATTCCTGCAGGAAAGAGATTTGATGAGTTAATTATTTATTTGAAGTCTTTGGAGTGACTCACTCCAATGGGGGTTGCAAGAGAAATGTCTCTCAGGTTAAATGCTTCCTCTGACAACAAATAACCATATCATTCCAGTACATGTCACTGCTGATGATATGCTTTCTCTTAAAGAATTAATGCAATGCCACTGAAGTGGCTGTACTCACTCCAGAAGGCCTGTTTCCATCATCCAAAATAAATTAGTAGTCTGAACATAATGATCTTTAGATTTCATTTTTTTCCGAAGCAGGAAAATAATTTTTTAAAAGAGATGTCACTCATCACACTATGTTTCTTATACCAATGCTAGAGAACATAAATATACACTTATGTTTGTAAGATGTTTTTCCAAAGTCCAGAGGCCATTATCCAAAACAAACTTTACAAGCAGCTCAGCTGTTGCATTCAGCATTCAAAGCAAGGCATTGAGGGCTCTTGTGTAGCAGGTTAGTATGCATGACAAATCTGTGCACATACAGAAGATACAGTCTAGTTATGGTGCTCACCAAAGAAGAGCTAGATAGACATGCCATTTTGAAGAAGAGTCATTGCAAAAAGGCTGCATTGCTGCCTCATTCTGAGACACAATGCTATACTAGAACATATACATACACACACAAACAATTCTGAAAAATTCAAGAGATAGAAGACATCTAAATTGCAAAAAACCTCTCAGGCTTTCAGATATAAACGGAGATACAGCCTGGGCCAGATCCAAAACAAGTTTGGAGGGGAAGTCTACATTTGGGTAATTTTGCCATCACACAGAGAAATGGATCCATTTTGTTTCCACAGTTCACAACTTACAAATTGCACCTTTCAGAACAAAATGGTTTTTATTCTGATTAGGTGGCATAATAAGAGAAAACTGACTTTGACAATTCAAATTTTGGCAATGAAAAGAGCACATCAAAGCATGGATAATATGGGACGGCCAGCAAGATCACCCAAGCCAAAGCTGTTCTCTTCTTAATTCTTTAACTGGCAGTAAAGGCTATGCCTCAGACTGTGAAAAAGTAAATAAAGAACGCACAGATCCAAAGTAAACCAGCACCCCCGAATGATAAGTCCTTCATATTCTTGGTATCCACCATTAGAAATGCCAGTGAGAGAAACAAGAAAAGAGAAATGCATTAAGGTGAAGAATGAAAAGGAAGTGCCCTGTGCCACATGCCAGCCTAGATGGAGCCTAAGACAGTCATCTATGCCTCTTACCTGGGGTCAGTCCTCTCCATCTTCTGGTGTGATCTCTGTCTCTTTATGTACCACTACTTTGGTCACTGACATGTCAGGGTGCTGCTCTTTGGCCTCTTTAATTGCCTGAGCCAGCGCCTATCCCCGGGAAACCACAGAAGGGCAAAAACAAAAAGGAGGTGGAACATGCATGATCAGTAGCCAGGTGAAGATTCATGAGATCTTTACACAATTTACAAATGAGGAAGAATGACTTAGATATGAATTATGCCATCATTCTTTGAAAAGTTTATCCAATATACTTTTTTTTTTCAGAGAACATGCCAGAAGAAATAGTATTATAACTATTATGGCTATCAAGTTTCTTTCTGGTCCTCTGCCCAGGTATCGTCTAGCATATGCACGCTACCTGGTCATGGTCAATGTCTGCATCTCCTGTGATGACTATTCGCTTTTCAATTCTTGTCTCTGAAATGCCTCCTTTCACAGTCTAAAAGGAACAAAGGCACACTTTATAAATGTAGTCATAAAAAGAATGCTCATTTTTCGCAGGAAGAAAACAAAACCTGAAAATGTGGAGAGAACAGTTTAACATAGTTTGCTCTTTAAAAAACGAAAGAGTATTAATGAAAAGATTTTAAAATGTTAGGGTTAGAACTGAGGCTAAGATGTACAAAGACTTTAAGAGTAGCAAATACTTAATGAACATCTGTAACATATAAGGAATGGAACAAAGTGCTAAATTCCATAAGGACAGCGTCTGCTTTATGTCTCCTAGCATAGAAGAGACACTCGATGAATACTCAAGTGGTGATACATCTTGTTATCAATACAATAGTATAAAAATGCCCAGTGCTCTCCTGGGGGAGGGCTTTACACATTGGAGGGATTTTTTAAAAAATTCACTGAACTTTAGACTTAAATTCAAAAAAGTTGTGTTGTTTTGTTTGCTTGTTTTGGTCTTTTTGGGGGTAGGGGGAATAAAATTTGTTTTTCACTTACTTTGGTGATGTGTGTGGTGGTTGTAGTACTTGTTGTTTCTGATGTGATTGTTTGTGCACTCATCAATACACCTGGCTCAGTATCAGCACTGGAATCCACCTACCCCACAAAGGGGAAGGGAGAAAAAACACACCCTAAGTTACAAAAATATTTTTAACAATTTTATCTGCACTACTGAAATAAACACTCCTGTCTATATTCACAAACAACCAGAGGTTTAGAGAGCTGAGGAGAAGAAAATTTTTATTTTTTCCTTCATCTTCTTAACACAACAGAGGTTTATTTTTCACTCTCAAAATATATTGAGGAAAGGGCACCCTATCCCAACATCAAAGAGTACTAAGGTTTTTACCCTCTTTTGTGTAACAGACCCCTTCAGCAGTCTGGCAAAGCCTACAGACCACTTCATAGGATAATTAACCCTATAAAGCTCTTCACTGAATAATGTTTTTAAACAGATACAATATACAAGATTACAAAGGAAATCAATCATATTATCAAATGTTTTAAAGAAAGTTCACAGACCCAAGACTAAAAGCCTCTGATCTAGTCCAACACCCCAGTTTTACAGATGATGAAACTAACTTGACTCAGGTCATACTGATGGGCAAATGGCACATCTGTGATTTGAACTCCAATTCTCTGATGTAATAGAAAACACACTGGCTCCACAGGAAGAAGACCTGGGCTCAAATTCTGGCTGTGCTATGCATGAACTGTGTGACCTTGGATAAGTCATTTGAAATTGATAAGCTAGAGATTTTCCAAAGGGAGGAAGTATGATGTTGAACAGAACTGAGTTCATGTCACATGAGGGTCAATGGAAGGAAGTGGGCATTTTTAGTCTCTAGAAGAGAAAACTCAGGGAGTACATAATAGCTACCTTCAAGCATTTCAAATAGAAAGAGGAAGAGGAATTGCTCTATCTGGCCTCAAAGGCTAGAGCCAGTAGCAATGGTTGAAAGTTGTGAAGAGATCAGTTTAGGGTTGATTTCAGAAAAAAATTCCTAACAATTAGAGACAGCCAAAAGTGGAATGGGCTACCCTCAAGAAGGAGTGGGTTTCCCTTCCTTGGAGGTCTTCAAGCAAGAGTCTAGATGACTACTTTCCTGTCTGTGAGAGTGGGGTTTCCTTTCCATGCCAATTTCATCATCTGTAAAACAACGTGGTTGTACTAGATAATTTTTATAGTCTGTCTCTCTCTTTTTTTAAATACTATGACTCTAAGTCCAGTGCTCAATGCTGCTATTCTTGTATCCTGTTTGCGAGAATCTATATCATGCTGTGTCATGTTCAAAAGCCTATGTGAGTTACAAATGGACAGGCAAATCCAGTTGTTATAGCCATGTGCTCTATGATCTGCAATAATTACATTTAATACGAGTTTTTTGTTTAAATTACCAATATCTATTGATAAGATAACAGAATGAGGTTTGGGCTTTCCAACTGTCATTAACTGAAAATCAAATTCATAAAAAACAGTTCATATTAAATTCAGGCTAAAACACAGTAAGACTAAATTAGAGAAAAGTAAGAATGTCTTGGCCTCTACCATATGTCTTACCTGTGATGATTCATATGTTATGGTTTTCGTCTCTGTATGAACTACTGGCACTTCCTTAGTTGAAATTTCCAGTTTTATTCCCCCTGGGGAGACACTGTCAAAACTAATGGTTTCTGTCTTCACAGATGCTGACTGTGTCAATGGGAAACAGGGAGAGTGATTATTACAGTTTAGAGACACATTTCTTTTTTTTTTCTGTGTGTGTTTTTTTAATGATATAAGCACTATATTAGTGTGGAATATATGTATGCTGCATTACATGGGGAGCAAGGAAAACATGAGGCCCACACACATATAGGACAATAGAATCTCTCGGAATTCTAAGGCATTCTTTACATTTGTTAAAATGTTCCAGGTGAAGGAATTTTGGGGAAAAACTTCTAGTGATTTTTCCTCTCTTCCCCATCCTAAACTCCTACTGTACAGACTAATAACACAATCCTGTTATCTATTAATTTTTCCTTTGGAAGTAGGATAAGAAATCAACAGCCAGTTCATTAATCCCAAAAGGAGTTCTTCTCTAGGAGGACAAAGTTGAAGGAATAATTTTTGACCGCAATTTTTGGTATTCACCATATGGGAACTTGGATTTCTGGATTCTTTCAAATAAATGTATAAAAAAGAAAAGTAAAACCTATCAAATCACCTAAATTTTTTTTGATGGATCAAACCTTCTATCCCCCATTGCCAATTTAAGGATTACAAGAGTGAGATGCCATATCTCCTGGAACTCTCTAGGTGATGACTAGTAAAACCTGCCTTTTCCACAGCACTTTACAAAAGGCTTCCTCACAACCATTTTGTTGTTTTGAGATAGGCAGGGCAATTATCACCAGCTCCATTTTACAGATGTGGAAACATCTCAGAGTGGTTAAATGATTGTTCCACAGTTACAGAGCCGGCTAAGTGACTGGGGCAGGAGCAGAACCCAGGTCTCCCGACTGAGTCCAGGGTTCTTTCCACATCACCACATTAAGTGTTGCCAAAGATGGAAACCAGCAACAAGCCCTGTAACTGCCATGCAGGAAGGAAATACGAGGAGAAACAAACTGCACTTTGAAAAGAGAGAGAACCAAACTGAACTCCATGTGCTCATTTGAACTCTCTTGAGGTAACAATTCCAGGACAGAATTGATTAGTTTGCCTTTAGCACAGAAAGGACCACTAGTTACCTCCAAATGAGGTTTAGATTCCAATGATTCCGAAATGAGGGATCTTGCAGTCTGCTCCTCCTCTCGCTCATGAGAAGCAGTGGCAATCTCTTCCTGTTTGATTACAGCTTTATCAGCCTCCGCCTCCTCCCTCTTCTCCTCTTTAGCCCCCTCAGTCAGAGCAGAACCCGCCTTCCCGGTAATATTAGAAGCCACAGCAGATGCTGCTTGAGCTGCAGCATCCAAATGAGTTCCAGCCAGGTTAGAACCATCCCCACTTGCATGCACATTCATCACATGTCTCTCCTCCACCACCACCGTCTGCTCAACAACCTTCTCTGCACTAAGCTGCTGGTGAAGTTCGCATGATTCCTTCTCTATTTCACTGGGCTCCGACTTGGTTTCTGTTCTCTGCAGGGAAAAAGATTAGGATGTCAGGACGCCTCTTCAGAAACAAAAAGAGAAAACAGAAGGTGCTTACCCAGTTGTCCAATGTTTATGTTAAAGGCTAAACATTGGAAACAGGTATTAAAAAAAAATCAATCTTCCCCAACTCCATCCCTTTTCCTTCCCTCTTCCAACATCTGTTTTAGCCCTCAACAGAAATCTAGGCTATTACTTCAGAATATGTGCAACAGAAGAACAAAATGCAATATTAAAAAAACCACACGCATTAAAATAAAAATATTACAGAATATCCATGTTGATATCAACAGACTAGGGACAGGTGCTAAGCCAAGTAAAACAAAATAAAAATACATACTACAGAGATTCACAGTATGAAAGCTTTATGAACTTTTTTTTACTTTATTAGAGACGAATGAAAGGCATACTATAGACATAATAATAATATAATGATAGGCATGATAAACACATGCTAGTAAAATAACCTAAGACATTCTGAAAGTGTTTTTTAGGGCAAAGTAACTTGCATACACAGGTACACATGCACGCATGTACACACACATGTATGTATAAGCCACATATGTCTATATACCCATACACATATATGTATATAGACAAATGTATAGACACATATGTGCAAAATCATATAAGTATATATTCATATTATATGTGTGTGTGTGTGTGTATGTATATATATATATGTACACACACACACTCACACACAGGTGTGCACAAAGCCATAGTCTGAATGTACATAGATACACACACTGCAGGAAGGACACAAAGCAAGAAACATCAATGTGGACAGTCAGAAAAGCCAAAAAGGAAAGCAAATGGCCACCTGAACCCATTTTTGTGAAGAAGTAGTAACCCCTCCTATGAACTCTGTGGGTTTTGTTGCAGAGTCTATTAAAGTGAAGATATCTGAGCCATCCAAGATCTTTTCACTGGCGGACTTAGTCTGAGTAAACAAAGAAATGTAGAGTCAGACACAGGACAGAACATTCACCCACACACACATTCATACATGTTATTTTAACAAAGCCATAGGCAAGAGGGAAAGGAAGGAAAGGAAGAAATCTGAGAGACTGAGGTCAGGAACAGAAAGGAATGGGAAAAAACAGCACAAATCTGTAGTGACTCTAAGCTTTTTTTTTTCTTTTAAAAAGCAGAGTTATTAGGATTGGGATGATGCTGGTTTAAGCAGACCTTTCTCTCTCCATTTTCTTTGCAAGCCACAGCAGCGATATTACACTTCAGTTACAGGGAATTTGAAATAAAAGTGCAAGGCTGAATGTCTACATTGGACTACCGTCCTTATTTAATGATGAGAAAATAAACAAGCTGGGTTGGCTGTTGTCAACATAAAGCCAAGTAGCAAGAGAAACTGAAAGGTTCAGGGTAGAAGGGTATGGCTCCAAAAAAAGCCATGCTTTATTCTTTAAATTACAGGACATATAAGAGTCACTGGTTACCACCACTCGGGATGCAGATGACTCAGTGACATAATGAGCAGTGGCAATGGTGAATCCTGGCTCCCGGGAATATCTCCATTCAGATGGGCTTTTCTCTTTTCGAGCAAAGAACCCTGCTTTTAAAGCTTCACTGTCTGGTGTTTGTTCTACTCCAGTAGGCTGTATACTTCCTAGGCTGGTATGGAATTCCAAATCCTTTTCCAGTTTCTGGGTTTTCTTCAGACTTTCTTCATCCGGACTTGGCAGCCGGGATTCCGCTTCCTTTATGGGGGCCAGAGATTCTGACAATTTCCTTTTCACAATCTGTACCTCAGATCCTCTCCTGGCCTTGTCATCTGAGATGACTTCTAGAACCTCATATTCTGTCATTCCGGGGATGATTTTCACAGATTCTGTCATCCCTCTCTCAAATTTCTGGAGGGTGTCAAGCGTGGAGGGCTCCCCTGCCTTTTCACCCTCTTTAGCTTTTCCTGTCATGGTCACAATTTTTCCAGAGACGGTATCATAAGATTTTCCCAAAGTGTATGTTTTCTGTTTGCTCTCTTCTCTCCACTGCATTTCCCGCGTTAAGTCATCAAAACTCTGCATTTCAATAGCGCTGGATTTTAACACTTCAGCAGGGATATCACCAGTTTTGCTGCTCACAGTCACTACTTTGTAAGTGACAATTCTTTTTGAGTCACCATCAACTACCTCAGTGGGTATTTTGTCTACAATAACCCAATCCTCTGTGCCCTATATTTGAAATATAAAAGCTAAATTAGAATGTCTATTTCTCTGGTTTTTCAAATAAGAATCCTTTAAGAAAACTAGAGGGGCTTTTTTGAAGAAACGTAACTATGCTCACTTCCGGAGTGCCACAAAACGGCTGGTGGCAACGTTGCTATCTGATAGCTTTGGTTGAGAACTCCTTTCAGGCGAAAATTATTAACTATAAATGACATGCCACTCTTTGATGCACCAGTCTTTAAACATCTAATGCTAAGTATGACTAAAGGCAGACATGCTTTTTATATGTGCTTTTTAGAGTAGCATGAGAAAATCAAAGGATGTCTTTTCAGTTCAAAAATAGGCTAGAAAATGTTTCAATGCTTTCTTTTTTGCCTCTTTGAAATAATTGCCAAAATCCCACAAAGTTTGGAGAAAAAGATGTCATATCCTTAGTTACATCTCTCTGCCTCTGTGGAATCAAGTTTGATCTCAGAGATGTTCTATAATTAAATATTTTCTGTTTTGAACATGGTTGAAATCTCTTATAAATAGTGACAGTATGACTTTCAATTTTCCCCCATTTTTGGTTAATAAATGGTGTACTGCTCATTTTTCATCTATTCTCCTCAACTTTATGAAGAAGCCAAACTTCTCTACAATAAATCTCTCTGTGAAAGCAGAGGACTGACAGGATGTGAGGAGACAGCTAAATAACTTTATATGCTATTAATAGTATGTTATTAATAAGGCATCTAATTTCACATTTACCATAGGCCAAAGCCTGAGCCCAGGCATTCGATCAAAATATAAATGTGTGTGTATGTATGTATGTATGTATGTATGTATATGCATATGAATCATCTTTATCTATATGTTGGTAACAGTTTAAAGAATTGAAAAATAACCTCTAGGGTTGATGGGGCAGTTTTCTGCAAAATGATCTGATGAGAAGAAACCATAGTGCCAGCTGAATCTCTTTCCTGCAGCTTCTTTAATTCCTTTGGCTAATGGAAAAACCAATAAAAATTCAGAACTGTCATTATCAATCAAGATCATCTGAATTAATGGAATCCCATAAAGGAAATATACATCAGTCATAGGAAAAGGTAAAGGTTTCAAAGTGATAGTGATTGCAAAAATACATGCTTGGTATATCAAAAACACATATACTCACCTGAGGACAGAAGGCATCAAGAAAGAAAAGACTAGCATCTGCTGAAAGCAATAGTTAGAGGCTACCCTAACTCCCCTCCCCCAGGATCCAATCAGAAAATAGCACACCCACCTTCAATTTAAAATATGGTAACTGCTGCAAGGAAAATGAAAACTAAAGACTAGTTCTAATGAAACTTATGTGTGCCAAAGCAATTCCATCTTGAAAATTCCTGTATGTTTGTTTTTTACCTGAGACTCAAGGAATGAAGAACTTCCCTGCTGCAAAAATATAATTTTTTCAGATATTTCTCTTTCTTCTTTGGTCTGTTTGAATAAAGGGGGTTGGGTTGGAGAGGGGGAAGTAGACAATTTCCAAAAAAGGAAAGTTAGGAAGAGAATTCTTATATTTTGCAATATAAATGCTTATCTAGTATTCATGCATTTTTCCAGCAGAAGCAGATTATTTATTGTGCTAATTGATCTGAAGAAGAACGAAGGAGAAAATAAAAAGAAATTTTATGATAATATCCAAGTAAATAGTTTTGTTCCTGTTCCTTTGATCAACAGTCAATACATAGACTTTTTACCTTCAAGCCTTTTCTCCTCACCCATTTCTACTTTTATGAATGTGCAACCAGCTATCTGCCACTTTAAATAGCATTTGAATATTAATTTTACAAAAAGTAGTTACCAGAAAAGTCACTAAATTAGCACAGAAAAATGCCCAAAAGCAGAGGAATATTTTCTAAAAAATTAATAAGCATTAATTTCCTCATATTATATATATATATATATATATATATGTATATATGTATGTATGTATGTATATCTTCCTATCTTTACTTTCCCACAAAGATTTAAAAGCTTATTTGGTCTTTTAATGATATAGTGAAAATTGTGTTTTATGCTAATTCAAAGACTAGCAAACAGTAATTGCTTAAACATAGTAATCTTAGAAAAGGGATAAAATATCTTATGAACTAGTTTATAATTACATTTTCTAAGATTTCTGGTCTTTCTATTTCGGAATTATTTTATGTTAAAAAGGATGAAAAGCAACCACATTTAATATGGGTTTCATTATCTCTTCAATCAATGTCTCTTTATTTAACACAAATTATAAAACAGTGAGGAGAGGTCAAAATTAAATACTTTTTTTTTTTCAGAATTATGCTGGTAGACAATGAAAGGGAGTGTTAAAAGCATCATTTTCCACTCACTGAAGTGACTATGAAGGCTAAAAATGAAGGTAAGCATGGTCCTCAGGAAATCCCGGTATTTACCATCAGGTAATGTCAGCATAGACCACTCATGATTCTAAATGTATATGTTTTTATATGTGTGTATATGTATACATATATACATACACATATATGTAAAGGTAGTATGTTGGGGGGAAATGGTCTAGATTTTAAAATGTGAACTCTGAATATAATCAAATTAACTACCCAAGATAATGGGAGTAGAAGAGATGCAGACAGTTTTTCTTGTTTTTTGGTTTTGTTTTTTTTTAAATAAAGCAGATGAGCTCAAACATTTATTTTGGCTTCTGAGTATAGTCAATTTAATTCAACAAACATTTATTAAACACCTGTGTGCAGAGCATTCTGCCAGGTAGTAGGAGAGTTAAAAAATTTAGATAAGGTGTAATGCCTACCCTTATGAAAAGTCACAGATCTTGCTGCAATTTATGATACATGCACACACAATTATAGAGCAAAAAGTATGCCAGAGATGTGCAAAGAAAGCTCTACGGGAGATACAAGAGATTAAAAAATCATTACAAATGGGTAGCATGTGTGATTGGGAGTGGAAGGGGGATCAGGAAAGGCTTCACTGAGGAGGACATTTGATTTTGTCAGGCACACATTTCAATCTTGTCAGTTACTCATATGTGTATTCCTATTCAATTACATCAAACCCCTTCATACCTTCAGGCTTATTTTCAGTGGTTTAAGAACCGGCTCAGTAATTTGGAAGTCATTATTCAGTAATCTATTCATAGATGATTAATAGAAGAACTGGAATTTAAGAATACTTCTAAGGAGCAAGTTGCTCTTGTGAACTGACACACCTGCTCCCTCTGATTAAGGGCTGTCTGTAAAAGACCAGGTCCTCATTTATAAACGAGACAGAAATTCAGAGACACATGACAGAACAACACAATCAACTTTGTATTATCCAAGAATGGAACAAAAGAACTATGTTAAGTCTACCCTGTCATGAGAAGATTCTAGCTAAATCTGCTGTTATGGGCAAGCCAAAGAAGGCTGAGAGGCAAGGCCTCTCCAACTAAATATAATGGCATAAATGACCACATAAATTCCTTGAGAGTAATTTTTTTTGTTTAATTTTTTTTTGATGTTTGTATCCCCAAGTGCCTAGCACAGTTCCTGGCACAGAGAAGGCATTTAATAAATACCAGAGGATTGATTGATATATATACAGAGCCAGCCCTAGGAAAAATGGAAAGTACTTCTATCCCAAATCCTTCTGTTTTTATTTCACAACCTCCTCTTTCAACACTCTTCTTTGCCCTATTCTGTCCTTCTTCCTAACCTGGTGACTATTCTGAATTTTGTTACAAAGAGGTTTGCTTTCTTGGCTAGACTTCAAATTTGAAAGTACTCCCCATGAAAGTTTAATCTAATAATAGGTTAGGGTATATTACTCTCTAAGGGGACTTGCCATTTTAAGAAGTCTAAAAGGAATACATCTTTAATGAAATTTTACACATTGTGAAAAGTGGCAGGAGAGCTATTTTTGGGTAGAGGTCCCTGTGCTGAGAATGTATTCAAATCATGCCATATACAGGTGATAGGTATCACTCTACCTATTCACAAGGCCGGCCCTCTTTGTGTATGTATATTTAACTTTATTCTAAAACAAATATATTTCTATGTTACTGATTATCTTTTATTATCCATGCTGCCTTTCTGCTATCAGTAAAGATATTTACAACTTGACTACATGATATACTGCTGGCAAAATAAAACTAAGTTTTATAAAATTTAAATGAATGAAATTAGCAAGTAAATGCAAATGTTAAATGTTAGCAAAATGGACTGATTCCTATTAGCTCATTTATTTAAACAGATATTTATTTCAATTTCCTTTTCTCTTTTCAATTGTTCATAAATCAGTAGTGTTTAGTAAAACAATTGGGGTTCATTAAGATTCAGTTCAAATAGATAAAGCAAAAAAGAAAAGTCACACTAAAAATTTGCAGCCTTTCTTCAGTTCTTATGAAATGCCATCTTATCAGAGATTGTAACAAAGGGAACAGACAAAGAGACATAATCAGTCCTTGAGCCCAAGATCTGTTAGCATTTTGTTGGCATTCTGTTGGCTGGTGTTTTTTAGAATGGCGTGGAAGGGGAAAGAAATCCCATCATCTAAAAGTTAAATAGGGGATTTTCTTTTATAATTTACAAGTAAGCAAAATTAATCCGTATGATATGAGGTTTAATGCTCCTGATTCCCAATTTGAACGTGCTTTGTCATAAAAACAAACTGTTTAGATATTAACTGGTAGACCAATGTGTTTTATTTTCTGATATTTCAAAGTACAGAATTATCTCATGCTCTTTAAAATACAAAGAGCAAGATATATAAAAGGCAGTTTTATGTTGAGAATGGGTAAGAATTTTTAACACATGAACTTTTAATTTGTTTATGATACTATCAGTTGGGTCAAATCCTAACATTAGGTCTAGAGTTGACTGTCATTATGTCATCCTGACAGAATTGTATAATTGGAGAATCCTAAAGAGTTCATTCTGATTTCTTATCATTAGAGGAGATCAAACTTTGAAATTCTCCAAGATCCAGACAGGAGATTCCACAATCACCCCTGAGAACCTGTTCTTGTACTGTGGGATTACTACAGTCTAGAAACTCTTCTTTAGAATATTCAAGCACCTATCAAAATTTAAACCCATTTTTCTCTCATCCTCTTCTTTGTAGGCTCAGAAAATTTCTGCCTATTATAGCCCTTCACATGCTTTTTTAAAAAGAATAATTAATTAGAAAAGGAATAGAAGGAACTTCAAAAGTCTTTCCACTCAATCCCCTAATTCTAGCCTAAGCTCTCTGAAACACAAGGATATACTCCTTGAGCTTAAAGATCAGCAAGCATAGAACCTCTTACTGCTCTTGGTAATTTAATACTGGCTCTTCCAAGAAATCTCCAGCTCTCACATTATGTTGAACAAAAAATATATTAAAAGAACAGTAACTGTGGGGCAGTGGTAAGACCTTAGGAGCCTGAAAGCTTTGATTATGTTTGACATGTGTGATGACCTTGATAATGCAATTCCAGTTGTATTCAAAAGTACATTAATTTAAAAGAAGGTTAATTTTTTAAAATCTTATTTGAGGCTTAAGTGGTTTTTTTAAAAAATAGAATGATTATATATAGTAAGGCAGGTGCTTTGATATGCCTACAATGGTAACTCATATTTCTATAGCATCTCTAGGTTTACAGTGTGCTTACTCTCTGTAACATGAATATATAATTGACCTTTTAGATTAAGAGCAGTAGTGACAAAGTTTCTAACTTTTCAGAAAGAATAAAAACTTTTACATGGAGGGATATTGGGTACTGGAGCCACTCTTATTAAACCAAGACGACACATACAGAAATTGAGAATCTGGGATTGTAGTTTTTCAGTCATGTCCCCCATTTAGAGTGTTCTTGGGTAAGATATTGGAGTGATTTGCCATTTTCTTCTCTAGCTCATTTTCCAGATAAGGAAACTGAGGCAAAGAGGATTAAGTGACTCGCCCTGGGTCACACAGCTAGTAAGTCTCTGAGGCCAGATTTGAACTCCAAAAGAGGAGTTTTCCTGACTCCAGGCCCAGAGCTCTAACCATTATACCACCTAGCTGCCCCAACTGAGAAGCTACTGAACTACAAATATTCTTTACTCAACTTGATAGGAAGGATCAATATACTACATGTTAAAAACTCTTTAGAAGATGATTTTAAACAACTTAAGAGTTTTCCTGATCTTTTCTGTTTCTTGTAGCTGAGCCCTGCTTCACAGTAAAGCAGTCATTATCAGAAACAAATTAAATCAATGTAAAAACTTTTCTTTTAGAGATACAGGAAGAGTAAGAAGAGACTAAATAGAGAAAGGAACAACTTATTGCATGTTCAGCTTCTACGCAGAAGCAAGTTATTATTTGTGCAAGGATTCCAAAATCCTTCCTATGTGCTCTGAGGGGCCTGTGAGATGAAAGATTAATTTTTTTGTTGATTTTGCACTGATTTCCCAGCACAAATCTGAAATATATGTCTGCAATAGAACACTGCCTGGAGAACAATTAACTGCAGATCACTTAGCTTTTTCAGCATCCCAGATCAAGGCTCTAAGGAAGGCAGAGAAGCCCAATAGAAAGAATATTGTTTCTCAAGTGAAAGGACCCTGGTTCAAATCCTGCCTCTGATGCTTAATACTTAGATGACTTTCAGCAAACAGCAACTCCTATGGACCTCAGTTTCCTTATCTAGAAAATGAGGTGGCTGGATTAGATGGCTTCTGAGGTCTCTTTCGGCTCTAAGACTACGACCTAATGATCTCATAGAAAGTCACCTGATCCTTCTACTGGTTTTCTCTTATTTTGCCTCACATCGCCTGTCCCTGAAACAACTCAAGAAAAAGACTCAAGAGTTTGAGAGACTTCCTTAGCGAAAAGAAGCCAAAAAAAAAAAAAATGCTGAAAGAAAACTAGGATATCACATCACACTGTAATTTTTCTGGATTTCTCCTTTTAGTTAATTTCTCCTTTTAATTTAATTAAAGGGTTTCTTCAAGTCCATCCTTATCTTTGGTAGTTTATAGTCCATCCAGCTTTTATTATGCCTAATTTTTAATACACACTATCTTTCATTTTGTAATTCTGCCCTCCACATACTATCTGGTCCCAAAGCAAAATATGAATTAATGAGCTAGCTAATCCTCTGGAAGCATCACATGTTAAAAAGCCTTTTGTGAGGCTGTTTTCAATTCATGCAACAGTCAGCAGGTGAAATCAGCTGAATCAGCCTGTAAATCTCTTTCCACATTGCAGAAGAACAAATAAGTGGGAGCAAAGGAGGCATGAAAGGATGACACTTCCAACATGAAGAGGAATCACTGACCTCTTCAGGCACAAGGGGTTCAATCATTGGGGCATCCTCCTGTCTCATGGCGAGCCGCACTGGAGATGTGGAAAGTCTCTTTTCCCATTCATTAGTCACAGCAGTTTCTGTGGAGGTCTCTAAAAAGGTTCTTTTCAGCTCACTAATGTTGGTCTGATGTTTCATCAGTTCTTCCTGATTTTTATCTAACTCCTATACGCAAAAAGTAAAAAAAGAGAAACCAAAACCCAAAGCATTACACCTGATTCTCTCTTTTTGCCTGCCTGTTTTAATAAAAATACACATTCAAATGACAATCCGGTTAGTATAGAATAATTTTCAAGTAGCGCGCTTAGGCATCAGGTTTCATGACACTGCCACACACACTGGTGAAAATGTGGTATTTTTAAAAGGCAATGACAGAAGAAATCTACTTCAGATGAAATAAAAATCAAAATATCTAAAAGGTAGATTGTGAAAAACTAGATTGCAAATAATCAAAGAGAATTCAAACATATGCACACACATGTAAAAAAAAAAAGAAGGCATCTATCTCTAATACAGGATAAAGAAGGTCACAGGAAGCTGGAGAGGTATACCCAATTTATTAGCAGGTGGAAAAACACATTTCATGCACCAAAGTGAAAGTCCACAGGTCGATCACTGAGAATCACCACACACATACATGCACTGGTATATACCAATACCAACCTCTAACATTAGATTACTATGTTTGATATACACATTTTCACCCTTTATTCGCTTAATCAGACTATTCTGAAAAAAGTGGAGAAGAAAGGGAAAGGTAAGGGACATGGTAGTCAAAGGGAACAAATGCCATCATCCTACATACTGCATCAATAACAGACTAACTAACTGCATGGCATGCTGAGAGATTTGAGCACCGCATCTTAGAGTACACATTCGCTTTTTCATTTCTACCTGTGCCTTGAGGTCTGCATCTTCCTCCTGATCCGACTGTCAGCATCAAGAAAAAGTGGAAAATAAAGTCTTACCAAGACAAATCATTCCAAGACTGAAACAGATGAGCTGCACATTCCTGCTCCGTAGCCCTACTGTAGACTTCACATCATACGAGACTCACACACACACATGCATTAAGAGAGGGAATAGGAAAGACAGAACGATGGCTTCCATCTCTTCTAAGCATGCTTTTGAAACATCAGTATCTTGATTTCCAAGTGTGATAAACAGCTACGTGTACAGTTAAGGCTAAGAGCAAGGACCTGAAAAGTTGTATCCCACAAGAGTTCAGGATGAATCTTGGAAGCACACCCAATGGCTTCTGTAGGTTCTGGCTCACTATCATTTCAAGTATCACTAATGAAATGACAGCAGAGTTCAACCAGGTTTACATTCAAGGATCACATCACCCCAAGAAGTTTAGGAAGAATCACATCACCCTAGAAAGTCAGTACTGTGGAGAATAGGTTTAAAATTCGAAAGAACTCAGCACATTGATTTATATGATGAAACCCTAGTATAAATTACACAAAAGTAAGATAGGCAATGAAAGTTACAAGTATGATTACATACATTTATATACAATGAGAGAATATTGAATTGGTGGCAGATCACAAGTTGAAAGGGGGTCAGAAAAAGGACAGCATTCATTTGTATGTCCTCAGATACATCATTTAACTTCCCTGCATCTGAGTTTCCTTATCAATAACAGACTATAATCCCCACACCACCCAACCCACATGATTCAAAAGTTTATGCAAATGTTGTCTGTAAAATGGGGATAATAATATCCATATTACCTATCACTTAGCGATTTAGGGAAGATAAAATAAGATGATATATGTAAAGTACTTTGTAAACCTTAGAGAGTTATTTATATATCAATATTTATGATGATAAATCAATCAACAAGCATTTATTAAGCACCTCCATGTGCCAGACCCTGGAGATATAAAGACAGAAATGAAGCAGCCTAACCTTAAGGTGACTACAATGCAGATTAAATTAAAGCTAAAAGCACCATGAATACAGGCTGTATACACACACATGCATATACATACATGTGTATGTAGATGTAAGTGTACATAAAATTTGGGATACATTAACCAAGAAATACTATTATAGTATTCCTATTACATTTGATAATTTTTTAAAAATTCTAAAAATCATATAGAAGCTTCCCTAATCTGTATGCCAGATTTTATTTTATTATTTCTAATTTTAATCTTAACTCAATAATTTTGAAATATTCAAGTTTTACATCTGAATGTTTCTTTGTTTCTCAACAACTACTCACATTTATATGATGCTTTAAGGTTTACAGGTTTCTTTCCTCACAACCATACTCTGTGGTAGGTGGTATACTAATACTCTTTTTACAGATAAGGAAAAGAGGCTCTGAGTGGTTAAATGATTTTTTCATGGTCATGACCAGTAAATCTCTTTCTCTACTCTCCAGAATTGCCCTTCTATAATCTGTGTTATTTCTAAGGCAGACAACTAAAATCACATCTTGAGCTGGTTCACCACATTATCAACAGTGACTTCCAGGTATTATTTAGAATAGTTCCAGATTCCTCTAAAGATGAACAGATCATACAAATGTACCAGTGAAATTTTTTAAAAATAGATCATTCAATTTACTTACATATATAGACATCTAATTACTTCTTGACAAAGCATGCATGAGTAAAAAACAAATCTGTCACATTGAAGGAAAGTTTTAATAAGTTACTAGAAAAGGAACTCTTCCATTATGAGAGTATAATACCATCACTTTCCATTAAAAAAATTAATTTTGGAAGAGAAAGTTTGTTCTCTTTGATTGCCATATTCTAACAGGTAAATAAAACATGAATAATGTATATGGGCTGTTCAGGTTTATTTTTTTTAAGAGCTTTATTCCAAAACATATGCTGAGTGACAAAAAGAAAGAACTACTGACCTGGATTTACAGGCAGTAAAATTCTTAGCATAAATTGTCAATTTCCATATACTGCTCGAATATACTTTTTCCCCCCTTGTAAGCAAATGACTTTGGTATGGGCTCATTTTTTAAAAATTAGATTTCATGATTTGAAAAAGGAAAGAAAGGAAGCATCATATATATATATATATATATATATATATATATATATATATATATGCAGAGAGAGAGAGAGAGAGAGAGAGAGAGTGAGAGAGAGAGAGAGAGAGAGTTCTTTAATGGCAAAAATTGGGTGAAGGGGGAAAATGGTCACTAAGGACACTACCATGACTGCTCTTTTTATTAGCTATCATATACAAAATTTTTATGATTTTTATATTTGGCTAATAATAATTTTCAAATCTTACTGAAGTTCCCTGATTCAGGTGAAAATTCATTTCATTTACCGGCAAAGTCATGTAAAATAAGCATGATGTCCAAAGCATTCATTAGAGGCAGAGTTATATTATGTGTTACACTGCTTTGGCTGACAGCCGTACACCATGTGTGCTTGCAGTTACTATACCAACCTCAGTGGCAGTGGTTTCACCATCAGCTGCAGTGTCCGTCTGTTCACTGTCAGTCTATTGATTACACAAGTAATCAAGGTCCGGAAGGTAGGCAGGAATAGAAAATAAACACGTTCTGTCAAACAGGGCAGGTCACAGCTCACATAGGTCCATCTCTATGACCGGGACCTGCAACACACTATACCTTCCCAATAGTATGCAGCTTTAAGCAAGAGTAAAAGAAAAACCATAACTAGGTTTGGGTTTGGTCAACAGAACAGACTCAGAGGAAGACACAAGATAGACATAGCATGATGCTTTATTGTAGTGATTATTTTAGCCAATCTGAACTGTCTGGAAAAAAAGAGTCTAATGGGTTTTTTTCTTGGGGAAAGTAGGTTTGTTGCCCTTTTCCCTCCCATTTTTTCTTCAACTAAACCCTTGATAAATCTATTAAATATTTCTGTTTAATGTATTAAAAGTTGCTTTTCATGTTAAGCTTACTTGGAGTTGAGAGGTGAAATTTATTATAAAATATAAAAAAAAAAGCTACTATAACAGTCACCTGACTTTCAGCCCCTCATTTATACAGATTTGATTATTTACATTGTTTATGAACCATTAGGCTGTCTGCATTACCAATTAGTTCCTACAGGCAGATCAAAGTAACTCAATAGCATACATAGCATTCGTGCAAAAATGTCATTCACCTGACAAAGAAAGTTGCTATTGAATGTTTTCCCGATTAAATATGTATATATGCTTCTACTTTTTTCCAAAATATAAAGTATATTGAACTATATTCTTAAACATGGCATTCTGATAAATACTGCACAAATATAGCAGAAAAATAACATCTAGTAGATACAATAAAAACAAAGCACAGCATTCTGTAGTCTAGACTGGACCTAGATTGACGGAGATGCACTCTTAGGCTTATTGGCAAGTTCTAGACTGGCTTAACATCAATTCTAGTGCCAATATTTTAAACAGCACAATTTAGATAGATTACTTCCTCATGAAGATGACAAGCTGTAGGCATTACTGTATTACACTGAATTCTACAGTCTTTTTAGGTAGTAAAAATGGCACATTTTGAAAGGAGTTTAAGGTTTCATGAATAGATAAAAATGATTCAAAATTAGTATATAAACTACTTCAAGTGTTTACTACTAAATTTCAAGAAAAAGTTTCTTCTCTTAAGAAGGTAATGAGTATTTACCTTAAAAATGTGTTCACATTATGAATTTGTTTAGCAAATTAATTTTTCATAGATAGCGCAGAGATCAAAACTCTAAGCTGTCCAAACTCTCACAAATTCCAAATCAATGGAACCCAAATTAATGAAATTTTATTCCATTTGTAGGTTTTATCTGTCAACTAGGGTAAGATAGAGTGCTGCATGATCTTTCATGATAAAACACAAGGTCTGTACATTTTAAAGTATAATTTATTAAACCAAACAATTGATTTATTAGCATTTTGTGTACTTAGTGTATTACAGCAATACAAATTGTACTGAAGAATCTCAAGGGGCCAAGTTCCATACAGTAGTGAGGCAAATTCCTCCTCCTTGTGTACTGAGATGTGATCTAAGCCTGCTGTTGTTTGTCCTTTATTCTTGAAGAAGACCATGACATCAGGGAGGTGATGCCATGACTTGCAAGTGAATTGGATTTAAGTGAGGGAGGGTTGTGCAAAGTCACCAGCCTCATTTTCTCCTCCAGAGCCATTTAGGTCCAGTGGCAAGATATAGATCAGGACTGGACATGGCCCCGCTTATCTAAGCCTGATGTCTTCCTGATTAACTCAATTCTCCAAAATTTGTCCCTTCCCCCCTTTTTTTCCTGAGTTTTCTGAAACTACCAAAGAGAAACTCATCAGTTAATAATTATTTTTAAATGCACTCTGGACACATGGAAAGGTATGGATCAGGATGAAAAGAAACCTGAGTTTCAATATAGAGAAAATTTCTACTTTTACAATGTGTTGTTGAATACCATTATCACTTTAAAATGTGAGCAATGATGTTACAATTTTAAGGCATCATCATAATGGACATTAGCTAATTACAAAGAATAAGAAAATTAAGGAGCTGAAAAGGACCCTAAGAAGTCACCTAATGTAGCTGCCTCTGGTGAGGAATGATTGATTACAGTTTTGTGGAATCTAGAAAACATTATGGATAATGTAGGTGGATTGCATAATGCTGGTTATTTTTGCCAGAGGAGTAGAATAAATTTCAAATAGATGACCCAGCTAATAACCAGAACTACATTCAGGAACTAAGTGGCAATTTCAAATAAATGACCAAATACAAATTTGGGGAATGTGTGGAGGGTTCCTCATGCAGGTAGGGTTTTACCAAGAGTAAAGGGCTAAGTAAACTCTTCAGTTGCTTGTTTTAATTTGTAGGTTTTGAGTATTTCAAATACAAAGATAGCTATGTGCTAGCAAGCTTCAGTCCCATTTCCTCTTATTTGCAACAATTACCTGCTGTGATTTGTTTTGCCAATGTAATGCAGACATGCCCAAGTTTAACATTAATTTTCATGCATTGTTTACAACAAGATGTATACCCTGGATTAGGCACAAGATCTCTGTAGTTTCCTACATAAAAGTACAATATTTTGCACAAAGCTGCAAAACTTATATACCAATGCTAATGTTAATACTCTGAGTCATCAATTCAAGTGTTAAGTGGGAAAAGATCATTTCCAGAACTGACATAAATTTAAGTTTTAAATTAGCAGATCAACATAAGCACATATTTGATCTATTCCTAGACTCTTATTAAACGTTACTGTTACTGTTGAAACTAATGGTAGCATGGCCACAGATTTAAGGTAACCCTTAAAGGGCTTACTGTGTTTAAGTAACAAAGGCTCTTTATAGCTAATGGCCTAACTTATACAGTTTGTTAATTTTTGATCTACAGACATCCTAGAATTAGCTTCTATTATGTGGCTCGGATATAGTGTAGCCTTTCATATTTAGCAAGTTAAACTCTTTCTCCCTCTACCCCCACCCCCCAAATCTCTGCCAAATCATGAACACTTTATACTGTCTGTCTGCAAAGAAAGGTTCAGACCATATCTTAATATTGGTCCATGCATTACACCTTTAATTCCTGTATGCTCCCAGGTGAAACCTAAATCAATGTATTTTAAATAAAACTGATAAGACATTCTTTCCTCTTCCTGTGTTACCTTGATTTTGTATTTTATCTTAAAGATATATGGTACACACACATCTCTATGATATATACATATATATACATACACATATATACACACACGTACATATCCAAGAGAATATACCTTATTATTTAAGATAATACATGTATATATGTATTGTGTTTTATACTTTTCAGGAATATTTGCACTATCTGTCACAATAAAATGCTTCATGTTTATGTGAAAGCTGGTGCCTCGGAAGAAATTGAGGCAGAAAAAAAAATGACACCCTGATGACTATGCTTAGCAGATTCTGTTCTCTCTTTCTCAGAATGAAATTTACTGAGGTGATCACGTTTCTATGGAAGTATAAAGAATGCCAGGCAAAGGGTAATCTGTTGGCAGTACAGTGAATTTATCTTCTACTTCACTTACTAGCATACTCATATTACAAGGAAGTATTCAGAATCAAAATCTTGGAATGGTTGTTCTAGAGAAGTTCATTTCCGGAAGTTTCAGAACTCACCTACCAGGACTCCACCGGTTGACTGTTCTGTGGTGGACTACTAGAATCCCCTGACATTTTTAGTGTGTTTTTGGATATATGGAACCCGACTTCATCCTCAGTTGAAAAGCTTGCCTGTTCTATGTCCCTGACACAAAATACATGGGGCTGGTCTTGCGAATCCACAGGCAAATGATTTGAAGATTTTAGCTTCAAGTGGTCCATCACATGTCTCCTGATGAAGCATGTCTGCAACTGACAACATACAGTTCTTCTCTTTACTTACTGGCCTGACGCTGCTCTAGTACGATCAAAATCTTAACTACCTCAGTCATTACTCTCTCTAACAGCAAATCGGAATATTTTTCATGGCATCAACATAAATGTCTTCATTCTTATTTTTTTTATCTCATACTTATTTTATATGTAATGTATCTTCTTTGGTAGTTTTTCCTATTGTTTATAACTAAATAAGGACTTTAAAAGGGATTTCAGGTTTGATTCAGTATTTATGTCGCCAGGTGCACAATGCATTGGAGAGGTGAGAGATCTCCCAAGTTGGACCCAGACTATGACAAAACACAAGGTGTTGTGCCTAACCCCGGGGGACCATGTTATACTCTCAAACACACAAAACCTCTTAACATATTGGCACAGACAATAAATGAGGCTCTGAAAGTAGGACCACTATCGAAGCAGCCGTCTCACATTATTTCGGACTGAAGCACTGAACACAAAAAGGAAGTGTGTTCTATGCCGAGGTACACACCTCTTCCTCTGAACTGTCACTCGGGTCATTGTCTAGTGAGGCGCTCAAGGAGGCTGCCTTGGGCTCCAGGTAGCAGAGGCACATAGCCAGAGGGAAGGAAAGAGTGAGGGCATACGGCACTGAGAAAGAAGCGGACAGTAGAAAGAAAAAGATGAAGAGGAAACAGGGCACAAGCGATGGGGAACGAATCGGAAGGTAATGCTGCAAGTTCGCAGGGAGGAAGTTGGTTTCAGAAAGGTTGGGGAAAGAGAGGTACCCATCATCGTCTAGAAGAGAAGGAAATGACTCCGGGAGTTGCAAGGAGAAGGAAAACAGTGTTGCGCCTTTGCAAGTTTGTTGTTTGCAGCTAAAGGCCAGATCTTGATCCCCTGCGCAAGCTTTCCCTTTCCCATTAGAATCCAAGTCAGGCTCACCACGAGTCTGCCCAGTGTCTTTGGCTGGCTCACAACCTAACGCTTTTTGTACATTCTCCTTACATCTCCTACGGAGTGTTGCTGGAGATGCAGTGGGGCCATTGTATGAGGATGGTGAGGCGGAAAATGAACTGTTGCCAAGCCAAGGTGACTGATGAGAGAAAGAGAGAAAAATAGAGAGAAGGAGAAAGCAGCAAAAAAAGGTGCAAAAAGGACAAAAAGAAAATAGTAATTAGTTCATTTTCTTCTAGGAGTAAGTATAAAATTATAAAACCAGAATTTTAGCACTAGGGTTGTTCACAGAATTAAAAAAAATATTCAAGCTGCATGCCAAAACTGTCATGAATGGTTAATGGCTATAAATTTTTAAAAAACATACAAACAAGTTATTTGTTAGCCTGCCTATGAAGTTATATATAAGTATATACATATACAAATACATTTTTAAAAGCTACAACATGGGGGTCTGTGCATGTTCAATTCTAGATTTTATGGAATTCAAATGGCTGTATAATTTCTGCTAAAACAGATTTTAAAAGTATTTTCACTGTGACACAATAAAATAATTACAAAGCTTTTGGGGTTTGACAACAGAAATAAATGCACTTGACTACTTGAGATACCTTTATTTTCAAGACTTTCAAGAACCTTCCCCTGATCTCTGGCTAAAAGAAATGTTACTGATATTTCATCTGGTGGAAAAACTCAAAATAAATCCTGACCTGGTACAAAATTTTCACCATCCTTTTATTTCCACTGAGTTTGAAATCAAGTGAGCTGCTAAAATTTAAATTTCTGGCCTCATTCCTTTTCAAAAGGCTACTATGACTTGGGCCACTATATCAAAGAGTAATCTGAAACACATATAAATGAATTTCTACCCAGTTGTTAGCTAATAACATCCCAAATCAGACTTTTTTAAACCACTCACAAAAAAACAAGATTTCTTTTAATTTTTTGGTCCCTATGAATATAATTTAAAATAAAAACACCAAGTGGTTTTTAAGAAATTAACTAGGAAAGATTAGGATATAAAAAGAGAGTAAGAACCACCATATATTTCTCTAGTCTTTATTAACATAGTAAGAACAGGCATTTCTATGGATGATCTCTTATCTTTAGATTGGTCCAGAGTGTCCAAAGAAAGGTAAGACTCAACTTCACCGCCATGTGTCAGACAGCCACATCACATTTCATTATGACACTGGCTGTTCACATTGTTGTTCAACACAAAAACACCCCCACCATATCATTTATCTAAATCTCATTATATTTAGTGGAACAAACAATGTTTTGCTCAGAAGTAGCTGGTGACTCAGGGGATAGAGTGCTGGGCTAGGAGCCAGGAAAACCAGAGTTCAAATCTGGCCTTAGAAACATACTAGCTGTATGACCCTGGGCAAATCACATAACCTTTGTTTGCCTCAGTTTCCTCAAATGTAACATAGAGATAATAATAGCTCCATACCTCACAGGGTTGTTGTGACTATCAAAAGAGGGAATATTTGTAAAATAAGCACTTTAGCTCAGTGTGTGGCACATAGTAAGCGCTACAAACATTTTATTCCTTTCTCTTCTTAGAATAATGAAACCCGGGCTCTAGCATTAGTTCCACCATGGTGGGAATTTGAGCAAAATATAACCTCTCTGCGCCTCAGTTTTACCATCTGTAAAACATTACCTACTTCTCTCTGTCTCAAAGGAAGATTTAGAGCGTGAAGAAATTAGCTATAAAGCTTTCTTTTTCAAACAATGAATAATCTGATGTACTATCATTATTAGCATTCTTAATTTGAAGACTCCAGTTGGGAGGTATGGTCCCATTTTATGCCAATACTTTAGTGAATCTGGTTCCTAATTAATAAAGGAAAAAAAATCCCACGAAAAACCTGTCACAACTGAAATAGACCAAAGGAAATTTCACTTTGAAAACAAATTAATAATAATTTTACAAAGAGCTTCCAATGTGAAAGTGACTTCATGTATACTAATAATTATCATAAACCTATTTTAGCATATAGTTATCACTTGTGTTCAAATCCCCTCCTGAGCACCTAAAACAGGAGGTGTCTAATAATGGATGAGAAAACCATGTACTGACTTTAGTGGCCTTTCAATGAAATCTAGGTCAGGGCAGGGGCAGGCTATTTCAGGCATTTGAGTCTTTATCCCAAAAGGCTTCCAGAGTAGACTATATCCAAGGCAGCTTCCTTTCCCTCTGGTTACCCGAAAGGCCACTCACTTTTATAAAAAGGAACACATTTTTGATGCACATTTCATGTTATGTGCCACTGTAATGAATGAATTAGTATTTATTTTTAAGCCTAACCCTATGTATGGTAATGACTTTGAGGCCCTACTTAGGAACAGGTGCATATCCTGGATTGGTGAGGCCTATTTACAGTGTTCTCCCCCCAGGGTCACCCCTGTCAAATTCAGGGAAATGTGGAGAGCTGGGAAAGCAAGATGCCTGGAAACTGGGTCAGTCAGGCAGGGAAGCATTTTCTAGCAACTGTGAGGTAATCTGAACTTCTTTTATTTTTTTCTATTGTGGGCAGTTAGAATAATGACTAAACTAATACCTCTGACAACCGACTAATGGTCTAGCATCAAGGAAGTATTCCCAGCATACACTGTACAGTATTTTACAAAGCATCTTCATTAAATGAAGAAAGCAGTGCAGGCATTTTCGCCATTTTAAAGATGAGAAAACTCAGTTTTAGGGGTGAAATGAGAAGAAGCAGAACATGCATTAATATTATCATGCCTTACGTGTATAGTTAAGGCCTGTGCTATATTAACAGACATGAAACTGTATTTCTCTATATGAAAACACAATCACATTATACATGGAAAAAATTTGTAAATATGAGTCTGTATGAAGCTGACTTTCTAATACTAACAGGGTTCTGAACGAAAATCATCCTTTCTGGCTTGTACTAGAGTACCAAGTGCATACAAGTGATCATTGGCCCACAGAGAAAAGCACAACTTCTTCATTATTGGGCTTAAGACTACCTGCATTTTAGAAATTATTTACCAATCATGGTTTATACACATTTCATATTTGGGGTGAAAATATTTCTAAAAACACAACTCTGAAGCATTATTTCAAAAGTGATAACTAAGACAATAGGTCAAGGGATAGAAGGGACAAGTAAAATTTGGTCAGGCCATGCTTTTTGGCCTCAGTGTTGAGCAAAGTACTTGCTAAGGAACGTCTGGAAATGAAGCACTGTAAGAGAGGGTAAATGTGCTTTAATCACTGGGTCAGTGTCAACATCTCAGAGAGTAAAAGCATGGATCTGCCATGTTTATGACAAATATTGTTATTTCCCTTGGATGCATTCAGTCACAGTTCTGATTAGTTCTCATTCAAGTAAAACATTTAAAAAACACTAGATTTTGTGGAACGGTTTGTATCAAGAATGGATAAAACCTATTGCTACATGCTTTAGTTAATACAATTAGTATTTCCTTTTAAAACCTTTCTAAGTAAGTGACTATTTTAAAGTCAACTAAAAAGAATGCTTCTAATTGTATTCAAATTGTACAGCTGCCATAAACGGCATGATGCTAGCAAAACAATTAGCATAAAACTATCCACTGTCATTCAGCTAGATTACCTCAAATTTAAAAAAAAAATACTAAATTATTGGTTTATTTACAAATCAACTCAAATGAAGAAATAAAACATTAAATAAACTATCTTAAAGTTATAATGAATGTGTTTAAGGAAGACTACATATAATCTGAAAATTCATGTCCTTATTTTCTGCTATAGCTACATTTGAATTCTAGTTAATTTATTCTCTCAATTCAAGAAAACATGCCATCTAGGAAAATCAACTATTACCAACCTGCAGAAAAATAACAGGGGAGATCAACGTTTAATATAATTTAATACACTTGAACATTCTAGGCTTTTATTTAAGGACACTCTACTAAAAGATGTTATTGTAAAAAATTATCAGAAATGCTATTTGTCTACAGAATCTTATGTTATATCCACTATATTAATCATCTGTATTTGAAGAGTACCTATCCCGAAGACCACAATTCTATGTAATCCTGAGGGGCTATTCTAAAGTTAGCTTCAAAATATTTCCACTAATGGGCATAATCAGATGCTATTTGATCATAAATGCAATGATTATAATTTCAATGTATGTCAACTACCATTGTTGGCTTCATAGCTCTACTCATTTCAGAAGCACCACTTCCCTGCCTCTTTCTCTTACTTATTATTTACCAAATTTTCAGTAAGATTTATAATGTTTGAGTTAATTTGTTGGAAGGTTGTCTTACAGTGCCTGAAATACAGATAATCAGAAAGACAAGACTTACAGAGTAAACAAGTAGCAAGAACTAATCAGCAGCGTAATAACAGTAACAATAATAATAATGAGTAGGAGGTTTGTTTCTAGGTTCAAACCTGGCTTTCTCCGTAGCTTTTCTTTGTTTTGCTTTCCCTAATTAATACAGTCACTAACTGCTGTGACGACTGCATGCTTCTTTGGTTGCCGTGGCCAAACTGTTCATCACCTTCCAGTCAACGTCTGGTGATGAATTTCTCTATATACTTAGTTTGGTCCTCAAGTGAGTGCCTGTCACTAGGATCATACTATTTGGCATTTATAAGATCCATGGAAAGAGATGGCATATAAATGTACAAACTATAGCTACTCAGCACACCCAAACATAGGAACATCAGTTTTGCACCTTCGTTAATAGAAAAAAAATATACTAAGCAGTGGAATAGGAAAATGGGGCCAGAAACAAATATAGGAAAACAACCACTGAGTCTAAATTATGAATTAAAGTTGCAAATTATTATCCCCAAATTATTATATGGTTATTATAAAATCAACTTTTAGAGACATTACTGGGTTAGCTACTGAAAGTCTTACACAGAACCTCAGTTGTTTTTTTTTTTAAAGGAATTGTTTCAGAAGCAAACAAGAGTTATAAAAATAAGTGAATGAATGAAGCTGACATTTATATGACCAAAGTTGAAATATGAGTCATCCCAAGACTTAACCCATTCTTTGCTTACTTCCTCTAATAATGGCTTGGTAGTCCCCAGAACAGTGAGCAAACTGTAGAAGAAGCCTAGGAAAAGCTACCTTTGCCTCATGCCGTACTGCTGAGACAGGAGTGACTTCCTCAGCCTTTTTCCTCTTGTCTTCTTCCTCATCACGCTCTTCTTCTGCCTTTTTCTCCGGCGTCACAGTTGTTATCAAGTTGGTCTGAGAGATGCCCTTTGTCGTGGCGTACTGGCCAGTACCAACCTCTGCAGCAGACATAGAATCCTTCATGTACATTTCATGGTTTTCATTCACTGATGCTAAAGGCAAATATAAAAAAATCTGAAATAGTTAATTCTGCATGATATTAAAAGGCAAGTTAAAAATATCACAATTATTATTGAAAATTTTCCCCGCACATCAGAAAGCTTGGAAAACTGGCTAATGAAGTTTGCTCAGTGAATACTTAAGCCTAAGGGCACACACAGCTTTTCTACATTTTGTATACCCACGTTTGCAAATTCTTAAAGTGCTTAACACAAAAAACAAACATTAGCCAATCCCCATGCTGAAAGTAATAATTTAAAAGAAAGAGCTCTAAAGATGTCAGAGTTTAAAAGTAACTGGAAATACAGGAGGAAAAGCCTGAGGTGACCCCCCCTTTAAGTCCATTTACAGACAATCAGTAACCAAGCAGCAACTCCTGCAGTTCAGCCCATTCAATGCCTGTTCTTTTTAGTAGATACATTTGCTTCAATATCCATGGCCAGGAATTGGTGTTAGATTGAAAAAAAAAATTTTGGTCGTATTTTTGGAAATGTCTTTCATTAACAAGTGCTATATGAATAATGGTCTTTATATTAAAAAAAAAATGTCCCTGGGATACATGGAAACATGATCACCATATATTAAAGTCATCATTATAATTAAACACCACTATCTAGCCAGAGATGAAAAAAACAAGGGGTAACTAATCAAATGAAGATGAGAAGCATTGAAATCTCCGTTGCAAGGTAACCTGGCGGCAATGAAAGGTAACGGGCATTTGTATTACATTCGGGAAGCATGACAAACAGATGCTAAATGGAAGCCATGCAAATGCAATGCATGCAGAGCATCTAAGATTTAAGAAATGTCCTTTTATATTGTGAAAAATGTTTTAATTAAAAAAGACCCAATTAAATTGCAAGAAACTAGTGCTAATCATTTTAGGACATGAATGTCATAAAATTTGTCAAAACTTAACAAATTTGTCTCTAAATACACAATAGTTAAACAAACAAACAAACAAGAATGAACTGCAATTGGTGTTGGATTTAAAGACCTTTGGATACTAAAGCAAAATGTTGGAAAGGGATTCTTAAAATCCTTGTAAGGGCAAATCACTTCACTAAGCATTCACTTTTCTTCACAGAGTACATGCCTAAATCTTAAAAGTTCCTTTAAAAGGCTTCAAAAAGTTTCTTTAACCCATGATATTTCTCTGGACTTGCTATCTTAAATACAATGCAGCTAAGCAAAAAAGCAATTTACGCTTCAACATGCATTTCCCAGCTTGCAATCAGCACAATCCCAATCCATGAGAGACAAGACATACTAACATCATTTTTGGGCAGGGAGAGGAAGAGATAGGATGTTATTAGCACATATCTTTGACAATGTTTTTCCCTTTCACAGCAACAAACATCATACCAAAATCATTACTACGACCACATTCAAAACAAACATGTCCTCATAAGAAGACACAACGCAAATATCAAACAGTGAAATAAAAATTCAAAAGATATGACTTTAATAACTTAGATTTCTTAGATGTTTAATATAAAGGAACTAACTCAGAGTCTGTGATTAAGAAAGCCAAGTGAGAATATCAGGGTAAGCAGAGAGAAGAGGCTATCATTAAACTAAAAAAGTAATTGGGATATTCTAATCTATATTCAATTATTGGCAGTCCCAATTTGGGGACAGGTTTGTGTTTAAAAGTAAAAATGTAAGTTGATTCACTCTAATATGGAATAAATTTCCCCAAAGAAACAATGCTACCAATGGTGAACTAATATATCTTGGAGTATAACAAGAGAGCCAATTTCATCAACAACCACATCTGAATTGTATTGAATTATCTATCAAGGATAACAATATTTCTATGTGGAAATGTATTCTGAGTTTTCCCCTAGGAATGTATCTAACATATCTCCCTTCCATAGCAGTTAGGTAGAAGTAGAGGGGAAAAGAGTTGAGAGGTAGGAAAAGTACCTACAATATTGATAACATATTATTTTGTAAAAAGAATTTCTGAAACAATCATGTACCAGTACAATTTTACCATACATTCATTTAACTTAATCATCAATAGCAGGTAATGTCCCTAAGTTTGTTAGGTTATTAAGCAGTTCTTTCTTTTATTTACAACAAATAACATTAATTTCAAGCCCTTAATATAGTTTCTATAACAGGCAACAGAGCCTAGTATGATCATTTCTATCTACCATTATTAGTCAATTATAAAAACTAAATTATATTTATTACTTCAAAGTAAGGACACATGTAACACATTGTTTACTTTCGGGAATTGTCAATAAACCTGCTCAGAAGATTTATACAGGGTTGACCTGCAACAGATTTGTGTTACTCATATACTCTATGACTGCCATTTTTTGGTGCTACAGCATATCTTTCTCTTGAATCAAAAATTTCCTGAATTATCAATAAAAGTTAAGAGGCAAGATGGTATGGAGTAGATAGAGAACTGGCCTTGGAGTCAGGAAGGTGTGGGTTCAAGTCATGACTTTAATACATACTGAATGTGTGACACAGGACAAACCATTTAACCTCTCCCAGGCAACTCTATAAAATTATAAATTGCAACCCACGTGCAGATATAAGCATTGGTAGAGGGAATTTCCCTCTACCAATGAAATGACAGGTCCAGTCCCATTCCATCCCTGTTAAAACCAGTTAGGCTACCATGAAGAGGCAGGATTCTTTATTTTCTACAACCCACTGTCTACATTTTGATCTAAGAGAAACTGGAAAAAATATATAAATTGAGGCTACAGGTAGACTTGTTAGTTTAAAAATTACACCCAGTCACATACAACAGCATTTCTTTTATCACAAGATGAGGAAATCTGAGTTTATAGAAAGCTTATGACTCTTTCTTGAGCCCATCATAACTAATAATAATTCTAAAGTGAGATAGTCAATGGCTCTTACCCCCATCCAGGCTGCGGGACATTGTATACCGTTTGCTAGAAGAACGCTCAAAATAAGGTGCCGGTCGGTCTATCAGTGCACTAGCTCTTCTTGTTTGGGCTTGAGTTCTACCACTATAGCGAAATTTGGAACCCAAGGTAAGGAATTTCTTTGGCGGTGCTTCTGGTAACAACAGCCTAAGAAGCATCAGGGGGGAAAATTATTAAACATTTCTCTCTCTCTCTCTCTCTCTCTCTCTCTCTCTCTCTCTCTCTCTCTCACACACACACACACACACACACACACACACACACACACACACACACGGAAAGTGAAATACTATAGATTCTCCTGTTTCAACAAATTATTATATAAATATTAAGCTAAAAAAATTGATTGGACAAGAGGAGTACAATTCAATTCAAATGCTATTGCTCTGAAGAACAAAAAGCAATTAGGTGATATTAATGAGCAAAAACAATTATTTCCCAAACCAGAACATGTCAGGTTTAATGTGCTGGTTTTTATGGGCAGATATTTCTTTTTTTATTACACAGTAAGAAAGAGAGATTGAAATCTAGAGTAGTGATGGGCAAATTTCAAAGAAATAAAGAATGGAAGAAATATTCTGAGAAAAAAATACTATAATATTATAAAAAAGAGAAAGACAAGGATTCTAGATATAAGGCCAAGGAAAAGGTCAGGGTAGAAACTATGAAAAGTTGGGAAAGTGTTGGAAACTACAGTATAAAAATGTACATGAGCCCCAAAACTAATTTTTTGCAAACCGCTAATTTGAGTTGTTAAAGAAACACTTACTTCTGAATTTTAAATATATTTCTTCCTCTAAGAAATTTTCCTTAGGACAATTAATTGCTAACAATTTGCCTTCATTAGCTGAATTATTCTACAGCTGTTAAAAAAAAAGAAAGAAAAGATCTCTACTTACCTGAAAAATGTGTGGTGTTCAACACATACTTTCCATAAACGCTTTGCAGCACGATGGTTTGGCAACTTAAACCCAATGGTACTTTCAAATTGTTCAAACTAGATGAGAAGAAGAAAAGAAAAAAAAAAACTTTTGACTGAACATTGATTTTTCAATAAAGAATTTACACAATAATTTTTATGACATGTAAACGTAATAGCCTCAAAAATAGTTTGCAAAGATCATTCGGATACGTATATAATTATATAATTATATTTAACACACGAAATTTATAGTGGTCTTCATATATTTTAAGCTTTTAAGTAAAGCCAATTTTCACAGGAATGTGTCTTCCTTATAATAATCTTCCATACATCAGACTTAGAGGACCTAAGGATCTCCCTTCAGCAAATATTCAATTTTGCTACATACAAATCACAAATGCATAAAAGGTGTTTCTCCCTTTCTTTGTATACCTAGTGCTTACTCATTTAGTGAATGCTTGTTGACCAAGAGCTAAATTTAGATAGTCTCTTCTTACAATAGATTTAGAATATCCAGTTAAAGCATATAACCCAATTCCCTCTTAGTACTTGTCTAGTTAATGAATAAAATTCTAAGGATTTTGTGAAATTCTTCCATTTCATCGTTCACCTAATAACATATACCCTGCTGGTTTGGTGGTTCAATTTGATCTAACATGAATTATCTTGCCAGATGTGAAGTATTTTGGCCTCCATTGTATTTAAGTTCCAAGTTGTTTTCCCAAAGTCCAAAACTTTGGGTAGTTTTCAGGATGACCTTATATTCTTTGGATGCTTCACTGAAATTAAAAAAAAGACTTCATGCATCTAGGTTTCATTTTGATGTTTGTTGAACTGCTGATGCTATCAATCAAACCACCAGAGGGCAGTAATCATAAACATTCACATCTTTCAAACTAAACCCTCATCACTACCTTTTCACCAAATAAATTTTTTGAGTGTCATCACCCATCTCCCTATCTTTTTTCCACTCGATTGTCTACTTGTTTCTGATTAAATGGATTGCTAGCACAGTGGTTCATGCGGCAACAATGAAGGTGACAGATGAAGGAGAAGACATACAAATTCAGCCAGGTTTGGGCTGCTCTTCAATCTCCTTGGGCTATCAAGATTTGGTTCAAGTCTCTGGGAATGGTTGAGAGAGAAAAGCTTGATGTTCCAGGTGTAACTGTGTTCTCTTTTCTCATTTACCACATAAGGAATACACAGGAGGTAGCATAAACTATTGTCCAATAGGCAAAGATATCATTCATTTATATCTACATGTATATACTATACATTTCTATGATGTAGCCTCTAGGCTATGATTATTATACAAATTTACTGTAATTTCAAATTAACCTCTTATATAGCCAAAAAAAAAAACCTTTGTTTTTATCTATATAAAACTTTATGGTTTAAAATTTGTATTCTTTTATTTCTTTTGCTTTTTAAAAATGAATGGTATATTTCCTCCATAATGGAACTGCCATTAGGAATAAATAGTTTGAAGAAGAATTTTTAGGATTTCCATTAAAAACTCCTATATTAAGTAATAAAGTACTCAAAATTAAAAATAAATAACATATATGTGTGTATTGTAAATGTTTTATATGTGTGTGTCTGTGTATTTATAAGAATACGAACTCCTTGAGAGAATAATCTGCTTTTCCATTTGTACTTTGGTATCAACAGTATTTATTTAGCACAATGCCTTGGTTAAAGTAGGTACTTAATAATTGTTGAATTGAATGTTAGAACAGTCAAATCACTGAAGATTCAGAGAACTTCTTTAGTGCTCCTATATCATTCTTCCACATTGCTTCCCAATAGCTACAAGATATCCAATTTTAATTTTAAGTAATTTTAAGTAAAGAATTTTTTAAATTTTAAGTAAATTTTTAGTAAAGAACAAATTTTAAGTAAAGAACAAAGTACAGATGAAATTTTTCTGGACTTCACATGACTCACACAAATGTACAAAAAAGATACATGATATTTACCTGAAAAATTATTACAAACAAAGTGAAAACTGAGGGTTTCTTAATACTATAATTTGTAATTTATAAGGCAGAAAATTACTAATCAACCTTGCATTTCCACTTATGTACAGAATTAGGACTCAAGATGGGAAACTGAAATTCAAGGATAGTGGGCACTTATAGAGGGAAGTAGTGGTCAAAAGCCACTACCAATTTATCACTGTAACATAGGAAGATAAAGCCATGCCAGGCTACTTATTTCCTTTACACATATAGTTAGTTAATTTGTTAGAACAGAAGAATTCCAAAAACAAACTATATTTGGGTTTTAGCATATGCATAAAATGATTATCTAGTTCGGTGGACTTAGAAATAATTGACTGATGAAATTCCAAATAGTGATCAATGAATAAGCCTCAATATAGAAAGGAGTTTCTAATGAATGTCATGAGATTGATGTCCTTGGCCCAATTCTATTCAATTAAAAATAACTAATTACTAGGATTAAAGAATAGATGGAATGCTTGCCAAGTCAGCAGGTAACACGAAGTTGTAAGGAATCACCAACACAATGATTGACAAAATTGTAATTTTAAAAGTTTTTGATTGGCTAAAATGATGGGTAATTTCTAGTAAGATCAAATACAATAGTAACAATAATAGCTAGTATTTATACAGTGCTCTAAAGGTTTGAAAAATGCTTTACAAATGTTTTCTCATTTCAACGTAAAATCCCATACCCACAATCAAAAAATAAACAAACAAATAGTGGATGAAGGAAATAATGCCTAGACAACAGTTTCTGATTGAGCTGTTAGTGGAGTAGACTAACAATGGGGCAGCATCATAAGAGGGAGAAAGTGATTTTAGTCCGCGTGATCAACATTATGTTGTTCAGAATGAAGAAAATCATGGTCCTACTGCACTGGATGTTAGTAATAGTGCGTCTACTGTTTCTGATCACTTCAATGAAAAACATTTTAGGAAAAATAAGCTGCAACATGTCTGAGAAAGTGGCTAAGATGGTGAGGAGACTTAAAAAAAGACTTTATCCTGGATTCAATGCAATTCAGGAATGGTTTATTGAGCAAAAACTATGTGCAAAGCAGTATGCCACACAATGGAGGTTCTAAAACAAAAAAAGGCATTGATCACATTCCTTCAAGGAGCTTACATTATCGCTGGTGGGGGTGGGGAGTGGGATAGAACATGTACATGAATAAATAAATAAGGTAATTATATAAATAAAAAAGGTAATTTCACAACATAGTGAGCACTAACAACTTGGGATGGCTGGGGGGAGGATAGGCAATGCTTTGCCTTGGACATGGCACCTAAACTGAATTTTGAAGGAATATAAAAATTCTGAATGAAAACAAAGAGATTCCAGGCATGTAAGACTGTGTAAATGCACAGAGACCGAAGATAGAGTGGCAAATTCAAGGCAGTTAGGACAATCTGGATAGAATATGACATACAAAGAAGACTAAACTACAGGAATCAAGAAGGTGTGTTCAAAGTCCACCTCTGGAGATAACAATTTCCATAATGACGTACGTAGGTGAAGTTACTACTAACAAGTAGTTGGTGATGTGCAGCTAGAATTTAGGGGTGACAGATACGGGCTGAATAAATATCTTGGGTTCAACTGTGAAAAATATATTAAACTCAATTGAGTAGATGAGATCAACAAGAGAAATTGACTATAAAAGGAGAAGAAAAGAGGGCAAAGGATAGGGACACATGTTTAAAGAGCAGGAGGTGAATGATGGTTCAGTGAAAGAGAATGAGAAGTGATCAGACAGACAAGAGGAGAACCAGGAGAAAGCAGTGTCATAGAAGCCAAGGGAAGAGAAAACATACAGGAGGAAGAGGTGGTTGATGGTATAAAAACCTTCATAAAGGACAATGAGAATGAGGACTGAGAAAAGGCAATCAGAGTTAGCAATGAGACTTAGAAAAAAAATTAGACTTTTTCAGAAGTTTCTGAGATGATATCAGGATCAGAAGATAGATGTCTTCAAGTATTTGATTGAATGGTACATGGAAAAGAAAGAGACTTCCTTTGTTTGGCACTAGATGACAGAATTAGGAAAAATGTTTACGGATTACAAATAGTAGAGATGTACAGATGTGGAATGGACTGACTCAGGACATGATGGGCCTGCCACCATCACATGTCTTTGAATGAAGAATGGATCATCCTTGTCAGATATGTTTGTAAAAGAAATCTTTGATTGAAGTTGACTAGATACCTTCAGAGGCCCCTTTAAACTCCGAGATTCTGTGATTCTATGAAAAATCTTAGAAACAAGTTATGAGATAGAAGAAATAGGACACAACAGAACACAAATGAAATAAATATTTAACATATTTTGGATTATCAGAAAAACTTCAAAAATCCTTCCAGGTACTTGCAAGTGATAATAAACATATCAGTAATGAAAGCTTTTGAAAAGATATAATTCAATTTGTCCATGATATCAATAACTTACCCAGTGAAAATTATGACATGTATTTACTTACCTCCCCTGGTCTGATTTTTATGTAAAAATTGTTCCTTTTGTAAGAAATTTTCAGAACTTTTGGCCAGGCAAATCTGTTAATGCGGAGTCTGTCTCGATATATCAAAAGACCACTTGCACAAACTCCTAACATAATTTCTACTCCTTCAGAGTCCTGGGGGGAGAAAACAGCAGAAATAACAAAATTATGTCAGTTTCTTTCTTTTCATCTATCTAACAACATCACCACAATTTATAGCTCTGGAGGGTATTATGATTTACAAAGTGTTATCCCATAAATCATCTTATTTAATTGTCACACTAATCCTGTGACATAGTAGTATTTATATAGCACTTCAAGATTTGCAAAAGATTTTATAAATATTATCTCATTTGATTCTCACACCAACCCTGAGAAGTAGGTGCTATTATCATTTCCATTTTACAGTTGAAGAAACTGAGGCAACAATAAAATGACTTTTTCATACAGCTAGTCCACAGGGCTGGATTTGAACTCAAGTATTCCTGGCTCCAGGTCGAATGCTCTGTTCATATAGCTGCATAGTAGCTGATGAATAACTACTTCATCCATTTTATGGATGAGGAAATCGATGTTTAGAGAGATTAACTGATCTATCTAATGTCCCAGAATTAATTAATAGGGGCACTAGACCCGGCACCCAAGTCTGTGGACTTCCAACCCAGTACCGTTTCCATCATACTAAATAATCCTTTAAAAGGATTAATTTATAATTTGGGATACCACAATTAAGTTTTCATTAACAATTGATGTATTTGAGGACATTTTTGTTAGAAAAATAGTACATTCCTGCATAGCAGACATCATATGTAAATAGCCACAGACACTTCCTAAACATTCTGATGACTCACTAGAAATGTTGGTTGTATGGACAGGCTTTTTTAAGGGATTGTAATGAATTTTAGTCTCCCAATAGAAAGGGTCAAGATCAGCTTCCAGAGCAAATTTCGCCAGTTGCAGGCCTCTACTCAAAATTTTTTTTAAATGTAAGTAAATAAAAAACAGCTTTGAAGAAGAAACTAGCTTAAAAAAAAAAAAAAAAGGCCAGCCTTAGAGTTATGTTTGGAAGACAACTGCACTGTTGTGTTTTGTGTTTTGTGTGTGTGTGTGTGTGTGTGTGTGTGTGTGTGTGTGTGTGTGTGTTTACACCATGGTAATGGATAGGAATACTCATGGGCTAATAGCATGCATACGAATCTTGGATCATTTTTATCAACAGCTGGCACGGCCACCTCCTCCTCTGCTCTCACATTCTTTTAATGTCACTGGGAAAAAGGGAAGAGCCAAATCATGATGATCACCCAAATCTGCCATGCCTTGGGGAAAATATTCCACTGTGTTCTGGAGTCCTGCCAACAACATAGAAGTATTACAAGGAAGGGAAATCTTAGCCCAAAAATCACAGCCTAAATCCAAGTAAATTACTTTATGCAGTGAGTGCCTTGATATGCGATCACATTAAGCTAGAGTGGGTAGCAATGATTCTTCAGTGCTCCCAAGGTATCCTAAAGCGTCATCCAAATGAGAAACTGGGACAAAGTTTTGGAACTATTTTGAGGTCTACTTTTTGGTTCCGATGTGAACCAAGGCAACTATTTAGTAATGATGTCAAGGAGTAAATAAAGGGTTGGTAGTGGTCATGTGGTTATTTTCCAAGCAGAAACCATTTAAAATACTACAGGCTGAGACATATTTTAAAAGGAAATGGAGAAATCAAATTGGGAAACCAAAAGAAAAATTGTATGTTTTAGTAAATTTAATGATGCTTTCATATATATCAGTCAATCCTCACGATAATCCCATGAGGATGGTATTATTAATCTCATTTTCCAAATAAGGAAATTCAAGTTCACAGAGGTTCAATGACTCACCCAAGATTCCCAAACTAGTGTGTATTAGCAACATAACTAGGAATCCAATGAACCATTAAACTATGAAGTACTATACAAAATGATACATGAAGGTTTCTTTCCATCGAATTATCATGCTTAAAAGTGTTTCTTTAAAAGTAGCTAAGGAATTAAAATGAATGACATAACCAATCGGTGCCTGTGAATGCAGGATGAATCCTAAGGCCAAAGTACTCTTCATTTTTAAGTTGCAAATGCATCAAAAGTAATGATAACTACACCCGTGGCTTGATTGTTAAACTGTCCAGGAAAATAAAAAGCCTAAAAAACTCATAGCATGTTATAGTTTGTCCAAAGTCTGAATAAAGGCAAAAGGCTTAAACAATGACATCAACAAAGCAACATAAACATGAAATGCCCCAGCACTGCAAAAGTCAAGAAATGATGGCCACTTCATATAGACATCCCATCTCTTATCAAAGTCAGAAAATTATTTTAAATCTTATTAAATAAACAAAGATCCATAGAGTTGTGAGAATTAAACAATGTAATATGTCTAAAGGGGGCAGCTAGGTGGTGTGGCTGATAGAGCACTGGACTTAGAATCAGGAAGACTCATCTTCCTGAGTTCAAATCTGGCCTCAGACACTTACTAGTTGTGTGACCCTGGGCAAGTAAGTTAACCCTGTTGGCCTCAGTTTCCTCATCTGTAAAATGAGCTGGAGAAGAAAATGGAAAACCATTCCAGTATCCAAAATAGGATCACAGGGAGTCAGTCACAACTGAAATGTTGAACAATGAAAAATGTGTCTAAAGCTATTTATGATCTTTACAATTCTATACAAATGTGAGCTAATATTTATTTTCCCTTATTTGAGGTCTTCAGGAAAAGCTTAGTTGGTTACTTGTTGGCTAAGTGATAAAAGGGATCATTTCTGTGAATATAGGTTGGACTAGATCATGGCCTAACCTAAAGTCCATGAATTTGTTTTTAAAATAGTTTTATAACTACATTTCAACAGAATTGTTTCTCTTTATAGCCTTATATACTTTATTAATAGAGGAGTCCATAGATTTCACTAGACTGACAAGGGATCTATGAGAAAGGCTAAGAACTCCAAACTGGATAGTCTCTGACAACTTTTACAAATTCAAAAATTGTGTGATTCTATGATCTTTTTAATCTCAACTTACAATTCTTGTATAAATATCATTTCAATCAACTAGCTCTTATTAAGGGTCTGCTATGTGGGAGGCACTAAACATCTCCTATCCACAGTATTTTAGAAAGGTCAATCTTCATGGCCACTGAAATATTACCTACAATTGACACCCTCTAAAATATGAAAATTCCGTTACATGTAATACATTTATGACCTTAAATTAGAAAGTTTCATAATTACATTTTCATTGTTGTTCAGTCACTTTTAGTCATGTCTGACTCTTCATGACCCCAACTGGGGTTTTCTTGGCAAAGATACCATAATGGTTTGCCATTTCCTTCTCCAGCTCATTTTATAGATGAGGAAACTGAGGCAAAGAGGGTTAAGTGACTTGCCCAGGATCACACAGTAAGTGTCTGAGGTCAGATTTGAACTCAGGAAGACGAGTCTTCCAGACTTCAGGTCTGGCACTCTATCCACTGTGCCATCTAGCTGCCATAATTATACCATAATTACATAATTCATCATAAATTGAGAGAGGAAAAAGGGATAGTTTCCCCCAAGAAACAGCAGTGAGAAAAATAAAAATAACCATCCTAGGTAGCTGGTTACAATATAATAGCACAACAATCTACACAATAGCTTCCTTTAATCAACTTTTAAAAGACAAAAGCAAAGTCTGAGCTGTAAAGGTAGAGAGAGATCACCCACTCAAAGGCCCTCCTTTTGCAAGGAAGAAAATGAGTCCCAGAAACTGAAAGGAGTTAACTAAGCCCTGGAAAGTGAGCCTCTGTGTCACACAGCACTTTATTGATGTGGGACTGGGGCTCAGGAGAAGCTCACATGTGGAACCTAGGCCTCTTGGTGTCTGCACCAGTGCTTTTGCTATTAGACAAAACTCTTGCATCAAAATCTCTTAATTTCACCTTTGAGTGACTTTAAAAGAACTTAGATATTCACTATTGGGTCAGATATATGTGTGTGTGTGTGTGTGTGTGTGTGTGTTACGGTAATGAAATATTTTTAAATGAAAAAGCACGTCAAGAATATAAAACCTATCTGAAAATTTTAAAATTAATTTGGAAACAAATTAAACTGTCCACTTCAAAGAAACACTACCTACTTAATATCTCTGGTATATAGCTAAATCCCTGAATCCAAAGATAATTTTTTGGTCCATCTGAAGGAAAATATAAGATTATAAATAGAACTTAATCACATTAAAATAAAGTCCTGTATACTGAAAATGCATTGCTTCATTTTGATAGCTGATGATGGGAGCAGATTGAATTGACCACAGGATATTACAATATAACACATATTTGAAAATACATAATACAACTTGAAAATAAGCCAGTGGATTTTGTTCCAAAGATAAGGGCTGGTCTAATACCTATCTAGCAAGACCTTTAAGACATTTCATCTGAAGAATTGTCACTTTATGTTGATGAATGGCTAGTGCTTCCTTTATGTGAATCAATTTTCTAAAACTATACATAATTCCAGTGCCTATCTCATAAACTAGGAGGATCTCAGATTAAGTACCTAGTATACATTCCTCATGTGGTGATTTGGGAAAAGAAAAAATGGAGAAATATGGATTCCTCTGGCATATGGAAAGAATTTCTGCCATTTACCTAAAAAGCCCTGTTATGTATGTGTGTGTGTATATATATATATATATATATATATATATATATATATTTACTGGCCATAAAACACATATAGATTCACTGACAAGAACTTAATTTCACAGATTGCTAGAGACAGAGAACAATAATCCTGATCATGTCTGGAACATATAGGAGGCAATATTATACAAATTTTCTTTTAAACGAAATCTTTATTTCAATTATTTCATCATTCTTTCTAGAACAGCTCTTCATTGGACACCCATCACTGACCAAGCATTTATAATATAGCCTGAGAAGGGAGCACTGAAGGACAGTCAAGTAAGAATGACAGATTTTAAAATTTAGCTGCTGGGCCTTATAGAACTAGAAATTCTCAGCATCAGGTCTAATGAAATTTTAGAACTGTTGAAACATTCCATTTCTTTTTTAAATCAGTTGTGCCTAAAATATATCATATTTCTATTGGTTAAAAGCATTAGTTTTTAAAAAGGTAGAAGTCTACCTATGATTTAGAAGGGCACATAAAATAATGATGATTATAATAAACACTGAAAGTGCCTTACATGGGCATAGCCATTCAAAATTGACAAAGTGCTTTCCTAAACATGATTATTTGAGTCTTATAAGATCTCTTAGAGACAGGCATGAAGGGCATGATCATTTAATTTAATTTAATTTTATTTTATTTTATTTTATTTATTAGTGATGAGGAGACTGGGACTGAGAGAGATTGAGTGATTTTCCTGGAGATCAACTGTCATGAGGTCACATGAGTGGCAAAGTCAGAGCTTTAATTTAGGTCTGCTGACTTCCTCAGTGTTGTTTCTACTGTGTAGAAATCTAATTGAAATTCCTCACAGTTTTCAAAATCAGAGGTGAAACAATTGGCTATAAATGCAAGATGATAAGCACAATACCAAGTATTGCTCCCAAGAGACATATTAGGATGGGAAAGACAAAGAAAAACAAAGCCTCAAGAAACAAACACCCCCAAAACATAGACACAATGTTGACAAAATACACTTGTGAGAAGAAACACAAAACATGCAAGAATAACACACAACATATACTGAAATGAACATTTGGATTTTTATTTCGAATGACTCTAAAAAACATAGGATTTTCATGCTATAAATAGAAGACTAGGATCTCACTTATAATTGGAAATCAGTTCTCATTTCACTTAGTAACTTTCCTTTTGGAAATTATGAAATTATGATGAATTTCCGCTGCATTAAAAATCCGGGTCTATCACTGAAGTACTCTGCTTAATATCTCAATGAAATGATTTACATGCCTGCATTCACACTACCTTTATTTCTGGGGACAAATTAATTTTCTCTTATTTGCACTATTTGAAACCATATTATGAATGCTATTTTCAATGATTAGCTATTATTATAATCTGATTTTATTTAGTTGAATTTTTGTGAACATCTTAGATCAAAACTTGCTTGAAATTTTGCCCTAATTCTTTCTACTTTTACGAGGCATCAGGCTAATTCTCCATTTTTAAAATGTGTAAAGTCTGCCAGCTTCCTGTTTTTCTCTTCTTCTCCATTATCCAAACTTTAAAATAATCAACAACATGGAAAACTTAGAAACTTATAAAAAATGACTCTGTGACACTTATTTTAAATTTGCATCTCTGATTCCATGCCACAATTAGATGCTTGGCATAGGAATCTTTTACAATTTCCTTGTGATTTTACTGGGTATAGAGGCAAAAGAAAAAATGAATTGCCATTGGAATAGGATTTGTATCAGCAGTTCAACTCACAACCAATCTAAATTCCAGAGGTTTGAGGTGTTCCCCCAAAAGTATATCATACCCTGGACAAGAAGACATTTTTCATCCATTTGGTTTTTCCTAGATAAATAATTAGGTTGAACTATTTCCAGTGATTATAGAACTGATTCAGGAGGCACTGCAATGTTCCAGAGCATTATTCATTCACTAAAAGGTGAAACGCAAACCAGAAGCTTCTGAAGAACTTCATTGTGTTGGACATGCTCCAAAACAGTGGCAAAGATTTTAAGAAAGACTTCAAAATATCATGTTTAAAGTAGGGTACTGTCCATAGCACCTGAAGTTTGAGGTTCAAAGACATTCGACAAATTCATTCAATTCAACAAATACATTTTGAATGGCTACTGTAGGTGTCAAATGCACTAGGGAGTTGGGTGTGATGGAAAGGACAATGACCTTGGAGCAACAAGATGTGTATTTTAACTTTATTCTGCCACAGACAACTTGTAAGCAAGTTTCCTAACCATTTGGGGCCTCTATTTCCCTATTTGTAAAATGAAGGGATTGAACTAGATGGTCTCCAAGTTCCCTTCCAGCTATGGATTTCTGATCCTGTGAACTGTATAAAAACTGTAGTTGAAACAGGGGAGAAACAAAACAAGCTTTTGGTATGTATTCAGAATCTGTTGAGAGAAAGATTTACATAAAATGAAACACAAAACAAAATAATTAAGTGCCAAAATGTGGACTAAAGTCAAGCTATGACTAAAAACAGGTGAGTTAATTGTGGCCTGGAGACACCAAGGAGAAGAGAACTGAGTAGAGCTGGGCCACTCCTCATTGTCTGAAGATCAGACAAATAAGATAAAGCGAGGCATTTCAGCAATGTTGAAGAAAACGGAGAACAAAGCACCAAAGAGAAGCCTGGTTAAGTCATGCTGTTTAGGGGAAAGGAAGGAGACTACAGCAGACTGAGACAGAAGAGCACGTGGAAGCAAAAAATGGGAGATGTGTTTGGACAAATAAAGTAGGATTAGATTATGGAAGATTTTAAATGTCAAAATAAAGATCAAAGAATCAGAGATGAAAGAGGCTTTACTGTACCATAAAGTTCAATCCCATTATTTTATATATGAGGAAATTAAGGCCAATGAAAATTAAAATGATTTGCCTCACATAGGTAAGTAAATAGCTGAGCTTGGATTCACACCAAGGACCTCTAAATCCAAAACATTTTAACCTCTTGATTACATTAACCTGCATCATGTTTGAAATTTATTCAACAGTCAATGGAGAGTTATTATAAATTCTTGAATAGAGGAGGAAAAATATAGAAAAAGCAATGTTTTAAGTCTAGGTATCTATGTAGGAAGCAATGAGGGGAGGAAAAAAATGAGATACAGAGAAATTAATTTGGAGACTATCACAAAAATCCAAGTGTGAGGTGATGAGGACGTCCACAGAGATGGTGAAAGCAGAGACAGGAAAAGATAAAAAAAAAATTTTCAAGGAAGAATTAACTAACAAGATGGTGATTGATTTGAGAATAAAGAATAATTCCCAAATGACTAAGCTTTTGGGTTACGACTGGGAAAAAATGATGTTGGTATTGGAAATGTGCAAAAATGTGTACGTTCAGGGTGTGAGAATGAGAATAGAAGCCCCTTCTGGTTTTGAATTTGAGTAAAAATATTTAAAGAGAAATGTCTAGCTGTCAATTGGAAATACAGAGATGAAACATAATTAAGAGGTCAAAGTGAGTGATATGGTGAGAGGAAAGTCAAACTCGAGAGATGAAAAAAAAAAAAAACAACCCAACATTAGGTTGTCATTGAAACTAAAACACTTATTGTATACTTAAGGAAACTGAGGTATGGGGTGTGACTGGCCAAAGATTACACAACATATTATTATAACATTGACATTTGAATCCAAAAAAGTGTCTTAACTTGGAATCATCACAGTATCTTAGAACTGGGAAGGATCTTGGAGGTGATCTAGTCAGGCCTATACCACAAGAAAAATCTCCTCAACAGCTTAACTCACAAATGGTAATTGGGCCTCTCCTTGAAGATCCCCCGTGAAGGACAACGTGCCACCTTCCTGAAGCAGATCCTTTAACTTGTGGATAATTCTCATTGTAGTTGCTTACACCAAACTTATTGTGCATCTTCGCTACTTCAACTCACTGTTTTCTTTTTTGTTCTTTAGGTCCAAACTTGTTGTTACTGCTGCTCAGTCACGTCCAGCTCTTCGTGATCCAATTTGGAGTATACTTGGCAAAGATACTGGAGTGGTTTAACATTCCTTCTCCAGCTCATTTTACAGATGAGGACTATGTGGCAAACAGAGTGCCAAGGTCACATGTAATAAGTGTCTGAGGTTAGATTTGACTCAGAAAAATGAGTCTTCCTCCCTCTAGGGCATGCACTGTATCCACCAGGCCACCTAGCTGCCCCTTAGGTTCAAGTAGCATAAGCCTATTACCTCTTCCGCATAACAGCCTTCACAATGCTGACTAACATTTACCATATCCCCATTAAATCTTTTCTTCTCCAGGTTAAACTCACCAAAATCCTTGAACCAAGCCTTCTATACTATAAACTTGAGATCCTTTTCCTTGAAGGTTGTTTTCCCTCAATATATTCTCCAACTTATTAACATCTTTCCTAAAACATGGAACCTATACCTCAACAGAATCAGTCAAGCACTTATTAAGTGCTTAATACATGTGAGGCAATGTGCAAGGTACAAAGGACCAGAGCAGAGGAGAGGAGAAGGGGAAAAAAAAAAGAATAAAGTTCCAAGGAATGATCCTTTAAAAATATCCTTTAAGAAAGAAAGGATGGAAAACAAGTTAACAAAGGACACAGAGAGTGATCACTGCATAAATTTGTACCCATATATATATATTTTTTGGTTTTAAAACATGTTTTGATTTTTCTGTAGTTCTGCAGAAGCAAGGGTGAGGAACCTGCAGCCTCAAGGCCACATGTGGCAGATTCCCCACACCAGTTAAGACCTATTGCTTCTCTAAGAATAGCTAATTTTTCCACATACACTCAAATTGCTTCTAACTGAATGGGTGAAGGGAATGATAACCCATCTTATGAGCCCAATGTTTAAGGCTTGGTTAGGGTGAGGGAGAATCTGGGGAAGGAGAAAGAAATATAAATTAAAACATTGATCTACCTTGGCATGATGTAGATCAACTCCATACATGGATAATTTTTTGGCATTTTCTAAGAAATGCATCTCTGCTTCTGCTGGTGTCATTCCCCTGAAGAAAAAAGAAAAAAAAATCAAAAGTTTAAACATGGTCAAGAAAGGAGTTTTTTCCATAGAATTAGCTACTTGGCTATCAGCTAAACAAGTTATTATCTAAGGCATTAGGCCTTTCTTATACAATACTTGGTAGCAAAATCTATTCTAGATTGATAGGAGATACTCAGAAAGCACCAAGGAGAATAATGAGAAAAGAATTTAAGATAAAAAATTCGAATTAAGTATTTTAATATTCTGAGTCAGACATAGTATATAAAGGGTCCATTCAGCCAAAGATGACTAATTTCGTGGGGGATAGAACTAGATTTGTTGGGAAAATTAAGAGTTTATCTAGATCAGCGGTGGGGAGCCTGTGGCCTGGAGGCCACATGTGGCCTGGAGGCCACAGGCTTTCCACCCCTGATATAGATAATATTCCCATTCCCAAAGTGAACCTATGCAAAAAGCTTTAAGTATTTTTACTATTCACCTGTGACTCTTGTGTAGCTCAATTACTTTATCTTCTAATTCTTTTGTATGGTTTGGTGCAAAACGGAATTCACTGACATAATCACTTCCACATTCATCTGGGTCATAGTCTCCAAGTTCAGACTGAACAGTATAGGATCCCAAGAGGGCGAGTGTGACGAAAGAACATGGCAACCTCCCTGATACTATATCATCTCTCAGCTGCAAACAGAGGTAGTACCTTCCAAAGACAAAGAACAGAGCTTAGACGAACGATTGCATTGTTTTCAGCATATAGTGGTGGGAGGAATTTTCCCTTGCCCGCTACAACTTCTTTTTCATAGATGGTGCCCAGGAGCTAAGAGAAAATGTCTATGTTACCTTAAAACAAAACAAACAAACAAACAACAACAAGAAAAAAAAAACCACTACAATGACTATTTAACTAGTTTCTAAAATATACAAACCATCCTAAGAATATTTTAGTATGTAGATAAGGACATCTGTTTCTGTTGGAATTAAGTCAAAGCCATGCTTTGGCTTCAGGTTTGACGTCCATAAATTTAATGGAGAATTATTCTTCATCACTGAGCAACCAAGAGTCCAAGTCACTGATAACTCTGGATGATTTATAGTATTTGAAGAATGATAGAATCATGGGCTGTCCTGAAACAAATTCTGAGTATGTGTTTGCACATGTATCCATGGGCTGACTCTTACTGCAAGGTATAATTAGAAGACCTTTGAATCAGCTGCATAGAGGAAATTAATTGAGTAAGATTTTGTTAATAAAGTATGTATATGTGTACACACACACACACACACACACACACACACACACACACGTAAAAGAATCATATGAAATGATTCCACTAATATCTCCTAAACAAATCCATTGATCTGCATGAACACACTTTGCAAAAATATTTGGTGTGAGTCCTTACAATATAATTTTCTAATACATAATTACTGGCTTGCAAAGTGAGGGAGGAGGGTGTTATTTCATCAAGGACATCAAAAATCATACTTGTGACATCCTGGCAACATTTATGGAGGCCAAAAAAAAATGTAAATCAGCACTTATGCTCTCATTTTATGGCTTTTCTACTTGAGTATAATTTACTTTCACAGTATGGACTTGAATCAGGGCTTTAGATTTACTTTCTAATGTCTAAACAGAGATGTGTTGTTGGCATGATGACTAATTCTAAAGCTGGGAAGTCTACCTAACCCTACTGTAGCAGTACTGCAAGTCAGCACTCACACCTGTATATTTTTCCACCAGTTAAAAGTATAGGGAAGAGCGAAATGAGCAGAACCAAGAAAATATTGTATACAGTAACAACAGTTTTTTTTAAGAGTGACTAAGTCATTCTGACGATTATAAATACCCAAATTAACTACAAAGGAACTATTAAGATGCTCTCTACATCCAGAGAAAGAACTGATAAATAGATGTATAGAATGGCTTTACACACACACACACACACACACACACACATTTGTATCTAATGGTAGCCATCTCTATGACAGGGGTGAGGGGGAGGGGAAAAAAAAGGAAAAAAAGAAAGTCATATGATAACTTTATTCTATATTTAAAAAGAATAGCAAGTTATACATAATAGATCCATAGTTTCATGTATAATCATTTTTTTCTATTCTACTATGTTACGGAAATGCTTGTTTTATTTCTTAAATTCAGAATAAAAAGAATAATTTTTTTTTAAGTATATGGAAGCAACAACAAAAAAAACACCAAAACAATCTGCTTCTATGTTGAAGGACCGTAGGTCTTGGAATATTATATTCTATAGAGCAAAAGAGCTAAGTTACAACCAACAGTAACTTGCCCAGCAAAGTTAAGTATAATCCTGAACAGAAAAAAAAAAAAATGGAAATTTAATGAACTCAAAGACTTTCAGGTTTTTGTGATAAAAACCCCAGAACTTATAGGAAAATTCAACATATAACATCCAGAAGAAATATAAGGTAAACATTAAAGATCAATAATAAGGGACTCAATAAGGTCAGATAATATATTTTGTATTTGTGAAAATATTAACAGTACTCTTATGATTGTCATCATTATTTGGGTAGTTTGAAAGAAAAGGGTGGGCTGAGCTGATAAAAAATAAAACTGTGTAGGGAGAGACAAAAAGGAGTAATTAAACAAATGAGGCATAAAAGGAAAAATTGATACAGAAGAAGATAATAGGGGGAGGGCGAGTAGTGCTGGAACCTTACCCTCATCGGGAATGGGTTAAAGGTAGAACAACATATATATCTAGAAGGTTATAAGTCTTCTCAATTCAGAAAGAAATAAGAGGCAAGGGGATATAGGGTGGAGGGATAAGATAAGGGAGGGACTAGCAGAGTGGTGGCCAGGTTAAAGAATAGGAGGATAAGGTAGCAGGTAGAAGGACAGGAGTGAGGAGGGAGAGGGTAAATACGGTGAGAAAGATAGTGAGAAAAATAGGAAGGAGGAAAACACACAATAAGTAACTGTAGCTTAGAATGTGAATGGGATGAATTTACTCATAAAATGGAGACAGATAGCAGATTAAAAATTTAAATTCAACAATATGTTGCTTTTGGGAAACATTACTAAAATGAAAGATACACACAAAAATAAAATAAAGGGCAGGAGTAGAATTTAGTATATAAAAAAAGGAGAGATAGTAATCATGGTCTCAGACAAAGTTAAAGTTAAAATAGATTTAATCAAATGTGAAAAACAGAGAAACTTCACTATGTGTCAGCAATATTATTCAATAGTGTTTTAGACCATTTAAAATGCTTAGACAGTAAAAAATACCTGAGGATATACTTGCCAAAACAGGCCTAGGAACTGTATTGACAAAAACATAAAACACTTTTCATACAAATAAATTCAGATCTAAATAACTGAAGTAATATTTATTGTTCATGGGTAGTTAAAGCCCAATATAATTTTTGTTTTGTTTTGTTTTGTTTATGAAGCAATTAGGGTTAAGTGACTTGCCCAGGGTCACATAGCTAGTAAGTGTCAAGTGTCTGGTCTGAGACTGGATTTGAACTCTTGACTCCAGGGCTGGCGCTCTATCCACTGCACCACCTAGCTGACCCCCAATATAATTTTTAAAATGACAATTTTACTAACTAATTTAGTAAATTAGTAACTAATTTAGTAAATTAATTTACTAACTAATCTATTTATTCAATATCATCCCAATTAAATTACTAAAAAATTATTTTACTGAGTTAGAAAAAAATAATAACAAAGTTCATTTGGAAGAACAAAAATCTGAAACTTCAAATAAACCAGGGAAAAAAGATGTAAAGGAAGTAGATTCAGCAGTATCAGTCCTTAAACTATAGTATAAGGTGAGAGCATTGTTGAAGTACAAAAAAGATAATTTCAATTATTTTAAATTAAAATAATCTTGTATAAATAAAACCTATCGTAGCCAAAAATAGAAGGTATGCATAAAATTGGGGGGCAGGGAGTGGAGAACGTTCATAGAAAATCTCTCAGGATGTGATTGGATTGGAATATTGCTGTAGTGTAGAAAATGATGAGCTTTGATTTAGAAAAACATGGAAAGACTTTGACTTATGAAGGAAGGCATTATCCACCTTCAGAGAAACAGATGGTTGGAGAAAATAAGCATACTATGGTCTTACATATATGTATATGAGTGTGTATATATGTGTATGTTTATATCTATCTATCTTTCTATCTATCTGTGTGTGTATGTGTGTGGAAATGCTTAATTGTAGCCTTCTTTAGGGTGGGGGGGGCAGGGAGGGGAAAAAAATAAAGTAAAAAGTGCACAGCAGAGAACAAAAGAAAATCAACAAGGAAGCAAAGAAAAGCTGGGCAGCTTTGAAAACAATATGTAGTATTTATTATATAGGTTTTCCTGAAAAAGAAATTTATTGTTCTTTATTGAATCCTCTCTTATGGTCTACTGTGTACATGGCAATCTTTTTTTTTTCTTTTCTCATTTTTATATTTAAATTTAAAATAAAAAAAAATTACAAAAAAAAAGTACATGGAAGTATCAACCCAGAATCAAAGATTCAACAGTGAACATCCTTCATTTCTGACAATGTTATCATTTTCCTTATTACCAACCAGTTGCTATCAATTTGCCAAGTGAAAGTGGCTGACTTAGAGTCTATCTGAAACAAGCAAAGCTGTTCTCAAGGGAACTTGGGAAAAAGATCTTTCCTCCTACTGTGCCTGAGACTTTCATATTTATTTTTTCAAATACCTGGTGATATCTTCAGATAGCTGGGCAGGGTCTGGTGGATAGAATTTCACATTAAATGAAAACTGCCAAGCACCACCTGCAGAAAAACAGAAATTCACAGAATCTCTTTTCATTTATAGTTCCAAACAGTTACCAAATTAGCATCTATTCACAACTACCACATCCAGAAACCTGTAGATTATCCATGATAAAACAGGGATAGGATAGTTAACTCTAAATATCAGGGATTTTTGTTAACAGTTACAATCTTATTGTCAAATTTTTTACTAACATCTCTTAACAACCAGTAAAATTTATTGCTTTGAGTTCTACCCTTTCTTCTCTCTCTCTCTCTCTCTCCCTCTCGAATTCTTAAACTTCTGTGTGTCATAGTCCCCTCAGGCAGTTTGGGGAAGCCTATGCATAGTACACTTTTCGGAATAATGTTTTAAAATGCATAAAGTAAAACACATAGGATTACAAAGGAAACTAACTGTATTGAAATACATTACTGAAATAAGAATAATTTGTGCTACACTCTACAGACCCCTTAAATTCCAGCCATGGACTTCTTTGGATTCCATGGACTATCGGTTAAGAACTGCTATTCTATCTGATGATACAAGCAAAGGAAATCAGTAATAACATCACTCACAGGAAATGTTTGGAGAAAAATAAGAGACAAAATGCATAGAAAATTCTCAAATTGGACTGTGCCTGCAAAGTGTTAAGTTCTGCATTGAAACATACAAAAAGATATGATCTCTACCTTTCAAAAGACTATGGGCTATGGTGTCAAACTCAAAAAAAATGTAGGCTACTAATGCAGAATAAGGATCTCTGTGGACCACACACTGATTTAGTTTTAAAGTGTAATATTGCCTATCTTATTATTTTTTTTGGTTAAATAATTCCCAATTCTATTTTCATCTGGTTTCAATTGCACTTAGTACTATGGCCCACATGTGGCTTGTAGGCCTTTGGTCTAGAGACACATTAAATAGATGTGAACATTACACTTTTATTATTTTTTTTCTGGGGAGGTAGGATTGGTGGTAGTCATGTTGTGGAGCTTACAGTTTGCTGCTTGAGAAAGAATATAACCTCATATAAGTTTTGATTAAAGGGATAAAGGGGCTTGTCAAGTGGGGAAGAAAAGAATCAGAAATATAGAAAAACATGGATACAGAGACAAAAGTAAAAGCAAGGAAATAGTAGAAGAAAATGGAGTGGTTTAGAATAGATAAACTGATGAAGATCATGGGATGATGCCATCACCATGCAATGTTTTTTGTATGGAAAAATATGATCACGTATACATGGATGTGTGTGTGTATATATATAGATATATATTTATGTATGTCTGTATGCATGTATGTATACACACACATATGCACACTGTTACTCCAATGAAATATGCAAAAGTTTATGGATATAATAGTTCATACACATACACACACACACACACGTCTAATGATAGACATCTCTAGGATTGGGGGGTAGAGAGAGGAAAGAAAAAATAAATTTACATGATAATTGTGTTGCATATTTGGAAAGAGTGGCATAGCAGATTTGCAATTAGAAAACTTATTAAATATATTTAGAGTTTTCTAATAATGCAAAAAAGTTGTGTGGTTTATTTTATGTCAATAAATTTACATGCTTTTACTCTGTCCCAAGTATTTCATATACCCATTACACACATGTGTGCACATGTACATACACACATAGAATCACAGAATTGTCTAACTGAATTTTAAAATGGGAGAAGTTCTAATAAGACAGAAGTAATGTTGTATAAACAAGAATTGCTATAGATAATTTTATATGCTGTCTTTAAAATCTATTTTTATCCCAATTTTTTTTTTCTGTGTTCTTATCAATGGGCAAGATCATTTAATTTTCTTCAAAATGAGCAAGGTACATGTAAATGTGATCTGTATAATGGAAAACATACAAAGTCTGATAGCTCATTCTTTCCTTTGGTTTTCCACTCTTAGAAAGGACAGGTAGGAGACAAAATATAAAGTTACAATGGGAAAATAGAATTCTAGCAACAAGTTGTAACCAAATTAAACTATTCAAGCAGGCTTTTTGCTAATAGTATCATAGTTTCTTATTTGTAGGGTTACGTTTTCAAAGTACTTTGCAATTATTAGTTAGAAGAGTACTAATTACTATGCATTAATTATGTGACTACATGTGGTTTCCTATGACTACAGAGAAAGCTCTTGAGAAAATTTCATCATCTAAATTTTTTTAAAAACTCTCCAAAGCAAAAAATAATTGTATTTTCAACTATTTATCACAACGGCAGTCATCCCTGGCTTTAATATTAGTTAATCTGTTACTGTCACACTACTTCTCTGACAAGTTGCTGGTTAGGAAACACATAAAACAAAATTTAAAGTGTGTGTTAAAGGAGGTTTAATTGTATAAATTATCAGGACTATCAATACCAAGAGATTAGGCTTTGGGATGTTGTGGGTTTTTTTTTTTCTTTGAAGAAACCTCCATGGTTTTGCTACAGTGGAGTTTTAAGCAGTTACTTATCAGTTGCATATTGATTTATCTTATCTTTTTGTGGGCATTTTTATCTCAAAGTAACTTATTCCATAGGCAGTTGGAAGAAGTTATTTGTTCCTTCTACTCATAGTAGTTGTTGAAAAGAGGAAATGTGGTACTTTTAATCTGAATGAATTCATTTACTGGACTCTAAGAAAGATAGGCTGGATTCTGTGAATAATGATAAAGCAACTCCTTTAATGGCTTTTAAGGACCAATGAAAGAGCAGACCAGCTGACCCCCCCAAAAAAATTATGCTGACATATAATTACATTTCTAATGTGAAATAATAATTTCCATTTCCTTGATTTCTATATTCTTATAACAAGACTATCTACAAGTTAGCTACTTTTGATTTGTTAATGGCCAACTAAAAACTATGTGAACTATATGATTGATTAAGTATAGAGCAGGGGTTTCTAAACTATTTCGTGTCATGGATGCCTTTGGCAGTTTGAAGAAACCAATGGGCTCCTCAGAATAATGATGTGTTCTTTCTCCCCAGTAGGAAGTATTTTATTTTTTCCAATTACTTGTACAAATAATTTTTAACATTCTTTTTTTATATAAAATTTTGAGTCCAAATTTTCTTCCTTACTTCCTTGCCTCCCCTCTCCTTAAGATGGCAAGCAATTTGATATAGGCTATATATGTGCAATCATGTAAAATATGTGTCCATACTGGTCATGTTGTGAAAGAAACAGAACAAAAGGGGAAAAAACATGAAAAAGATAAAGTGAAAATAATATGCTTTGATCTGTACATAATAATGTTTATAAATTCCTAAAGTATAATATATAGGATTTCAAAGAAAAGTAGCTCACAGACCCCATGTAAAGAATCTCTGGGATAAAGATCAATCCCAATAGTGTAATCCTCTCTCAAATAAGATAACATGCAAAGTATTTTAAAAACCTTAAAATACTATATACATGATAGCTGTTATTAGTATCAGTGGAGAAATGTGTGGGCATAAATATATTTATTACATTTATATTTTCATTCACTAAAATAATTTCCTGAAAAAAAATCTGCCTAGATTTAAATATTTTTTTTAAAAAGCTTCTCTTTAATTATAATAGCTTGTGAAAATGAAAAGAGCAGTCATTGTTAATAGAATGCTAGAAGTTCAATTAAATAAATAAGGCTTATTAAGCACCTAGGTACATAGAATGTGTTGTTCACCACTAGATTCATTGCAAATAGTAAAAATAGGAGCTATAATGAGGGGCCTGTGGTTTTAACCTCTCTTATATAATACTATTTATAGTATTTTCTGCATAGCCATTAGTCACCAGCTCAAAGCTCCACTTCTCTACAAGTTCTCCCCACATTCTTTCCAACAGTCCAAAAAAGAATTCAATAACACTTACTTCGGATCTGTTTTTTGATTTCCTTAGCAGGATCTAGCCAGTTCTGAAAAAGAAGTAAGATTTTGGAATTAAATCAGAAGGTTAAAAGTAATTTGGGGGTCATTAAGCACACACACTTACTAATCTCGCCCAGGGTGATTCCTTACTGCAACTGGCACTACCCAAATCCGTCACACCATTAACTCCAACTGGATGCTCCTTCTCCTCCTGTCAGGCATTATATTTTTCTAGACACTCTTCTCAGTCACTGATCGTGGACAGAACTATAGGCAGTTCATTTTTAATGTACTTTTCAAGAAATTAGTTTACTATCATTGGTTTTAAGGGGTCAATCTAGCATAGAAATAGAAAAGCAATTACAGGAGGGTCAGCATGATCAAACAAATAGCTTGATGAAATTAGATACATGTAATTTAACATATAATTGATGTTTGGTCCATTCCTCTGTTCTTTGCAGAAAAGCACCTCTACATTAGTGACTTTGCCAGGTTTCTCAGCTGTTAAAATCTTCCTCTCAGAGGTTATATTCCATCTACTCTGTGTATCTTATATGTTCCTATTTATGTCCATGTCCCCATTAGAATGTAAGCTCCTTGAGGCAGAGACTGTTTATTGCCTTCCTTTGTAGCCCCAGCACTTAGCACAATGTCTGTTATATCGCAAGCTCTTGTTAACTGACAGATCTAAATGTTGTTGTTCAGGTGTTTTAGTTGTGTATATCATGACCCCATTTGGGGTTTGCTTGGCAAAGTTACTGGAATGGTTTTCCATTTCCTTCTCCAGTTCATTTTACAGATGAGGTAACTGAGGCAAATAGGGTTAAATGACTTGTCCAGGGTCACACAACTAGTAAGTGTCTGAGATCAGATTTGAACTCAGGAATATGACTCTTCCTCACTCCAGGTCCTGCACGCTACCCACTGTGCCACCTAGCTGCTTTTAATTTACTTTAACTCACTCATTTTACAGATCAGGGAACTTAAGTTCAGGAAGCTTGATGACTTGTTCTAGGCCTCACAGATCAGTACTGTCAAAACTGGGTCTGGAGCCCAGGGGTTTTCAGAACAATAAAGTAAAGCAATTAAGTGACCTCTGGTAAGATAAGGTAGGAGTTAAGTGTAGGGGAAAGGCGGATGAAATTAGAAGTCCTAGGGATTCAAAAGATAGAAAGAAAAAGAGAACGTAACCCATAAAATATGCAAAATAAGCGGTTAGGTTAGTTCAGTTTATTCAATGAAAAGGCAGATTAGTCCCAAGACATTTTCCTTGCTCTTAATACGAGATAACCCTAATGGATATTTCACCTTTTGGTTTTCGGTGTCCCGGTATGTTAAACCAAAGTAGTCTTTTTCTAACAGGTTCAGATGTTCACACACTTTGTCAAATAGCACTTGGCCTCTGGAACGTTTCTGTGGGTAGGAAAAAAAAAAGAAAGCTAAGTTCTTTCTTAAATATTATGAGTCACAATTTAACATACTTCATGCTGCATTTCAAAAAAAAAATTGAGAGGAAGATTGCTAAAGCAGACAAAACCACTCTCATCTCACTCTTTTTCAGAAGGACTCACCTGCAATGGCGTAAAATTGACTGAGCTAAAGAAAGACTCCTGGAAATATTCAAAAGGCAAAGTTAAAGATGTAAATTATAACACTGCTTTCTAAATCTTTATTCACAGATACGATCACAAGTCTTGCGTTGGGCAAGTTAAAAAAGTCCTAAGGAGGTAAAATAGAAATGACTAAGGGATGAGCATCCAAAAACTGCACGTCAGGCAACAGTGTACAAAAAACTTCACTAAGGAGCCTCCCTGCTGAAGCCTAAATCCCACGTGGCCAAAGGAAGGACAGCTCAAAAGGCAGAAAGCCCCGTTTCCTGCTGGCAGGGAGCTGGATTACCAATGAAGCTGCTCTCCTAGCATGAATCTGCACAAATCCTGCAACAGTGACCGGCACAACCAGGCAAGGCGCCCGTGTTCCTCCCCCCAATGTCTAGTCCTGCCTGACTCAACCCTATAAAAAGTATGGCAAATTCGCAGATTTTGGCAGCTGCTTTAACTGGGCATCCCAGTGAACCGCATATGTTTCCACCCTCCCTGAGTACCTTTTTGTATTGTATTTCCCCTGCTCATGCTATGTTTTGTCTTGTGGTGCTCCACCCCCTCCTTGTACTGTACCTTGCAACCCCAAACATCACTCAAACTACATTAAGAAAGTGTGGTAAAGGAGGTTTTGGTGGGTGGAGAGCAAGGCTGGGTCCTGAGGAATCACTTAAGGCAATTATTTACCTGCTGGGCACTGGGCTTGTCTACTGAAATCTCCAAATAGGAGTTTAAATTATTGACCACTCTCAAGCTGTAATGCTACGGTTATGAACTAAAATCATCTTATATCATTTTAAAAACATCACCTTACAATAGGCCCCAAGCTGTGGTATCTACATGCTACCAGCAAGCTCTAATGCCAGTATGTACATAGCTCCAAATACATAGCTACATGTAGGCTCATGGTGTCCAAATATACTGCTTTAAACATGTGAGAAACATTTAAAAGTCTTGTTTAACCAGTTTCATGGGTTTTTTTTGAAGCATATGATGAACTATTAAGTCCAGTGGTCAAATTTTTAAACTTTTTCCAGAAAGCTGAAATAATCCCTACTCTACATCAATGAATCGTCGTGCTGAGTTTAAATTAAATTCTAGGTTTCATATCAGATCCTAATCATCTTGGAGAGCTACTTTCTCATCAGGAAACTTGACAAGAAAGGGGAAAAAAATCCTTGACTTACTTTGTCTGGTCTATAGGGCAGAAACCCAGCTCGGAGGCACTGGTGATAACATAAGTGCTTTGTTGTTTGTTTGTTATTGTTGTTATTGTTATTGTTCAGTTGTTTCAGTTGTGCCTGACTCTTCTTGACCTCATTTGGGGTTTCCTTGGCAAATATACTGAAGTAGTTTGCCATTATCTTCTGCAGTTCATTTTACAGATGAGGAAACTAAGGCAAAGTTACATGACTTGCCACATAACCAGTAAGTGTCTGAGGCCAAATTTGAACTCACGAAAATGAGTCTTCCTGACTCCAGGCCTGGTGCTCTAACCAATGCACCACCCAGCTGTCTCAGCATATGCTCAGGGAAAACAAATGGAATACATTTTTTTGTCCTGATCCAATCCAGGACAAAACTTTACAGTCACAGAGACATTTTGTTGGTGAGGTGGCTTAACCGAAAACAACTGAACTGAATTCAAATGAAATGTTTTTGCATTTGTATTTCAAAATTTTAAAAATTTAAGGCATGTTTTTTATTAAGATCTACTGTCAAGACAATGAGGCATGAAATGAAAACAAATTACCAGAATCAAAATGATAATCATGCAAAAAAAAATAGTATCATGTAGTAGTTTATGCTGAAAGTTAAATTAAGGTCAAATTTTTAAAATTTCCTCCCAAGTGTGATTATTTAATTTTTAAAATATCATTTGTAATGGGAAAGTAAAGCCTGGAGGAAGACAGTTGGAATATTTCTTGCTCTTCATTAGCTCTTCCAAGATGCTCCCCCTACAACCATCACTTGGTAACTCCTCCTCCTTTAAGGTTCACTCAATCCATATCTACCACCCAACCAACATTCTGTTGTCTACTGACTTCCAGGATACTCCCCTTCTTTCCATAATGAGTTTAGTCCCTGGATGACAATCTGTCTTCCCCAACTCTTACCCTCATCCTAGGGGACTTCCAATATACATGTCTGATTCTCTCTCAAATAGCCTAACCTCCCACTTCGTCAGCTTACTCATTTCCCAAAGTAATGAGTAACACAAAGATGGTCATACCCTTTATCTTGTCATCATCCACAAATTCACTACTTCCATTTTCATGAACTCTGAAATTCCCTTATTGAGGGTTGTCTTTCCCCTTCTCCCCCTGACCTGCAAACCCAAAACCTGTTCTTTCTCCACAACAGGACTTCCAGTCTGTCAGGGTTCTCCTAGGCCAGGGGTGGGGAACCTGTGGCCTCAAGGCTAGGTTACTAGCCTATCTTCTTTTTTGTTCAAACAAATGTCCTTTACATAACTGTACCATAATAAGGGAACTTTTAACAGATTGCTACCATAACATTCTCCTCGACAATTTCTTCTTTTGAGGTTTTTGTGACACTGATCTCTCCTGGTTCTCTTCTTACCAACCTGACCACTCCACAACCTCTTTTGCTGAATCTTCATCTAGGTCAGGCCTGCTAACTATGAGTGTCTCACAGGGTTATATCTTGGCCTTCTTCTCTCTTTACTATTTCACCTGATGACTTCATCGGCTCCCAGGGATTATCCCTATATTAGTGACTCTCAAATCTACTTATCTAAACCTGAGCTCTATGCTGATCTCTAGGCTCTCATCTCCAATTGCCTAAAAGACATCTCAAACTTAATGTCCTATACACATCTGAAATTCAACATGTCCAAGACTGAACTCATTATCTTTCTTCCAAACTTCTCTGTTCTGTCTAAAGCACCAGCATTATCTCAGTCCCACACGAACACCTTCCTTGACCACTCACTCTTACTCCCTGTACCCAATCCGTTGATTTTTACCTCCATATCATGTCTCACATCTACCTCCTTCTCTCCTCTAACATTGGCTGGTGCAAGCCTTCATTCCCTCATATTTGGACCATTAGAACAGCCTGCCGGTAGCTGTACTACGATAAGCCTGTCCCCACTCCAGTTCATCTTCCACAAAACTGTCGATATGATCTTCCTAAAGTGTAAGTCTAACCATGTCATCCTCCTACTAAATCAACTCCAGTGGCACCTTCCAGGATCAACTATAAAATCCTCAGGTATTCAAATCCCTTTATAAACCTCCTCCCACACACATCTTTCCAGTCTTCTTAGACTTTACACCCCACCACCTACTCTTTTATACAGTGATACTGGCTTCCTTGCTGTTTCTCAAACAAGACATCTCCTCAATTCCCTCAACACTCCGTCTTCAGACTCTGGGCATTTCCAATTCCCGCCCCTAATTTATAGAATTCTCTCTCTCTCCTCTTCTGGCTTCCTTCAAGTTCCAACTAAAATCACATCTTCTACAGGAATCCTTTTCTGATCTCCTTTAATTCTAGTGTTTTCCCTCTGTTGATTATGCCCAACTTATCCTGTATATATCTCATTTGCACATAGCTTTGCATGTTGTCTTCTGCCATAAAATGTGAGCTCCTCAAAAAGCAGGGACCATCTTTTGCCTTTCTTTGCATTACCAGTGCTTAGCACAGTTCCTGGCACATAGTAGGTACTTACTAAATGTTACTGAGTGACTGGCAAATTGTATGATAGCAGAAATGTCACATGAGGCTGAAATAAAAGCAATACTTGGATTTGAATGAGTAGCACAAAACATTAAACATTGCTAGTTTGGACTTCATAAATATATGACATAATAAAACGATAGGCATACAAAAGATATTATCATGCAATAGGTAGTTATGCTGAAAATTAAAGTTTTTATTTACCCAAACCATAATTATTTAGTAAAAAGAAATTTATGGTAGGTAGGTTAAAGCCTAGTTGAAGAGAGTTCTATTTTCTACAGTACATTTGGAAAAACATTGGTGATAAAAAAAATTGTATGTTAACAGAAATGCATCATAAGCTGAAATAAAAGCATTATTCATTGGATTTGAATGAGTGGCATGAAAATTAAACATTGCCAGTTTGAACTTCATAAATATTATAAAGTCAATTATTCCTACTATTTGACAGCCACATACAATTTCTGCTGAAGGTAGTCTGGGAGACAAGTTTCCTTTTTGTAACATTTTCTATATAATCAAAACTAAATGAGCACAAAGGAAATAATCACTAGATACTTTAAATCTTGTGAGTGTTGTGGCCCCATAGCCAGATCACTACTACAGATATCAACATTACCACAATGACTCACATTTAACATTTAAAAAGGACTTTCCCCACCCTCCCCCCCACCCCCACCCCCACCCCCACCCCCATCCCCAATAAACCCTGGAAATGGATAGTGTACTACGCAGCACTAAAGTGAGTTTCAAGAGACATCAAACACTTTGCCCAGAGTCAGAGATCTGCCAAGCAGCGCAGATGCTAACCTAGGACTCTTGGTGCTCCTTCCACTCTGCTGTGCTATTTTCTACAGTAAGTCACTGAATGAATACCATATACATAACTGACAACTGGGTATACATTTCTACACCATTAGAGAAAATTGTAACATACTACCATTAGAGAAAAACTGGATGAGTAAATCTTGGGGGAAATCACTCTCCTAATCATAAATTCAATGATAAATTTCATTATTAGCATAGTACTACTAAAGTCTAGAAAGGAAACCATCATTCCTACTGACTTGCTAAGTCATCTCCAACTCAAAGGAGTGTGTAGGT